ATTTTTGTTTGAAATACTAAGAATTTTGTTCTCGACTTCAGAAGTTTGATTGATATTAATGGCACAAAAATAACTCACTCAGTAGAGGATTGCACCATATAATAACACTATTACTCTATTTCACTATTACAGGGCTGGAGATGGGGCTGGAGAAATGCAACCACTCAAATCAAATCAAACTTTATTTGCCACATGCGCTGAATACAACAGGTGTAGACCTTACAGTGAAATGCTTACTTACAAGCCCTTAACCAACAATGCTGTTTTAAGAAAAATAAGTGTTAAGTAAAAAATAGATAAGTAAAAATAATAATAATAATAATAATTAAGAGCAGCAGTAAAATAAAATAACAGTAGGGAGGCTATATACAGGGGGTACCGATACAGAGTCAATGTGTGGGGGCAGAGGTTAGTCGAGGTATCCATAGACTTATGCTATGGATACAAGGACTGAGCATCCATGATATCAAAATGTATAGTTCTAACCATGTTTTTAGGCTATACAGTGGTTGTTTACATTTACTTTGTTTACAAACATTGGAGTAAAACAAGCTTATATTTTACGACAGTTGAACTAAGCTCATGAGGCATTTATACATTATATTTTTCAAGAATCAATGGGTTCATATCATTAATTTATAAGTCTCAAAAATGTAGCAACTAAGGATTGCCCCTTTAACAGGCAGTCCACCTTCATACAGCAGAACTACAGTATGTCGCCATTTGAAAATGACCTATTAAACATCCGTCCAAAAAAGTATTCTGCCCTCTGTTTTATTCTCCCGAGTGGCGCAGAGGTCTAAGGCACTGCATCGCAGTGCTAGCTGTGCCACTAGAGATCCTGGTTCGAATCCAGGCTCTGTCGTAGCCGGCCGCGACCGGGAGACGCATGGGGCGGCGCACAATTGGCCCAGGGTAGGGGAGGGAATGGCCGGCAGGGGATGTTGGTAGAGCATGGCGTTTGCAACGCCAGGGTTGTGGGTTCGATTCCCACGGGGGGGGGCAGTATAAAAAAATATAATGTATGCACTCACTAACTGTAAGTTGCTCTGGATAAGAGCGTCTGCTAAATGACTAAAATGTGTAATGTAAATGTTATGAGTGCTATTCTACACATTTTTCCCTTGGTAGCAATTTTTTGTGCCTTTTTCCCTTGGTAGCAGTTTGTGATTCTGTAGCCCGACCTATGATAATTAACTTAATACAATATAATGGGGAATATGGGTGCGGTTTCTGTGTTCCGAAAGGCACAGCTGTAGAGAAACCAATTCAGGTTGCGAACCCAGAACTCAAAGTCAGACAGATGTACTTGTTGCAAATGCAATGGAGACGCTCCTGTAATGGGTGTTAAGGGGCCGTCTGTTTTGTCACTTTTGACATCCTCTGATATGGTTCAAGGAAGCGTGCCTGATTACATGCACTCAGTTCTTCTTGGGGTGGCAAGAACAATGACGTCGTTGTGGGTTAATAGTAAGTACCACGAAATGCCTTGGTACTTAGGGAATGTGTCATTCAATGTCCTTCTCTGCCTTCATCTGGACTACTGTGGGCCCATTCAGCTTTTGTTTTTGTAACTTGCTTGATATGATTAAAAGCACTCAGGGCAAGCCCATGAAAATGTGTAAATCATTTTGGTTGGAGAAGGCACTACCACTTTACGGGAAATCAATTATGGAAAATGTGATGTTTGAATGTAAAGATGACTTTGAGGCTCTGGTGAACCCGAACACACTGTAAAACATGTTGCAAGATCTGAGGGTGTGAGTAATTTAGGAAGACCACTCATCAAAACAGTAGAGGAAGCTGATTTCCTAGCGCTGCATAATGTGACTGATCATCTGCAGAAAAAGTGAGTTATTACAACAGGGTAGTTGTTAATGCGGAGGTCATTCACTCAAGCTCTAAAGAGACTAAAATAAACTCTCACACAGTCATACTCAGAGATGAGGAGAACAGTGCATTCGCTGTAAAAAGGTTAATTGTAACAGATGTAGGAACTGGTTCCAATTGAGTTTTTAAAGCACACCTACTTCTCAGCAGTCCCAAACCCTGATAATTTCTACCCTGTGAGGTAAATCTTGGGACACAGTACAGCCATTCCCAGCTTCTGAAATAAAACAAAAGTGTTTGTTTTTGTCCGTGCGAAAATTACATGTTGACTATATTGTTTGATATCTCAACCACTATGAGGTAATCACATGATTGAGATTTAGGACAACCGTACAACAGCATGTCCATGATGACGTATGACCCAAACAGCTTTATCAGATGTGAAGCAGGGCTCAAAATTATAGACGTACCTTTTTTCCTTTTTCTTTACCATTCTTCCAGAATCTTCCCAAAGTTCATTTTCAACCGTTCCAAACTGAGCATAAACCGTCCGTGCTTTCTTTTTCAACATGGGTCTAGACTCTAGGTCATTCACAAAGCTTTAAAAGTAGGCTAACTGTAGGCCTATAGGCTGAGCTGTTAACTGAGACAGAAATTCACATTGTAATATTTTATGTAACTCATTGTGTGCATTACGGCCTAATTAGCTCAATGGATTGCTTCCCAAATATTATGTTTTTACTCCTCATCGTTAGAAGGTTGTATCTCCTGCCTCTGAATGTCATAGAGATGAACCAAAGATATCCCCATGTGCAATAAGAATCACACCTTTCTCTAGCCTAAAGCATTGCTGAGTTAAGCATCATTAACACGCTTTATATAATCAGGAGCCAATTTTTCCTCTTCAAAATCTTAAACTAACAAGGGGTATGGTTTTTGCCCTTTTCTTTAACAAGGGGGAATTGCATATCCCCCACAAACCCCCTCCATTTGAGCCCTGTTAGTAACACAATATCTGTAGTAGTAATACACATCCTGTAGTAGTAGTAGTAGTAGTAGTAGTAGTAGTAGTAATAGTAGTATTATTAGTAGTAGTAGTAACACACTTTTTGTAGCAACTTAATACTTTTATGGTTTATATCTTTGGAGATCTACTATTTGGTGCAAACATTGATTGAAGTGCAAATCTAGATTATGAAAACCTGTCACATTTAAGTGCAATTGACCTATGTCTGCAACCAACTTTTAATAATTCACAGATTACTATACACAATTCTGGTTTAGAGATACATTCACAATAAAACATTTAATATCCAACAGATTAAGGTTAAAAGGGGCAATCTGAGTTGCTATGTCAATTTTTTGGAGTTATAAATTAATGAAATGTACGCATTGATTCTATAAGAATATAACCTATAAATGTCCCATGAGCTTAGTTCAACTGTCGTACCCCATCAGAACTCAAAATATAAGCTTGTTTTACTCCAATGTTTTGTAAACATTGTCCTTCCATCCATAGCTCTGTCTATGAATTTGAGAGTGGTTACATTTCTCCAGCCCATCCCTCAGTTTTTACCAAAAAGGGGACAGGCAGTACACTTTATTATTGTTTCAACTGCTGATTGGCCCTTTAAGGACCAATGTTTAATACTCCTTTAGGATTGTCCACTTTATTGACACATTGAAGAAGCAACATTTATGAAACATATCTAAACAAAAATGACTGTACATATTAATTACAAAAGGTATACAAAAACATCACAGTTTTACAAGACAAAATAACATGGTAAAAAATGAAAAATACTAAATCAAAAACACAATTGCATAAAGGATGTTCAAAAAGTGGATTGTCCAATCAAAAATGCATATTTTGACCAATGGATAAAATAATATGTTTATCGTGTAAATAATCCTCTAAGAAAACCATGTCTCTATCATAATCCTTTCAAAGTTATTGGAGTTTTCATCCTTGTAGGATGGCCAGAATTAGGGTGATTAAATCAATGGTGGCCAGAGAAGAAAAAGTGGTCAAAAATCATGGAAAATTGCATTGCGTCAGCTAGGCAGGATTCTGTGCAAGAATTAAGGCTACTGGCTACCTGACAGGCTCACTTTCACGTTAAACTTGTAATCTTTCTTCTCGAATCTGCAGGACATAAACCAGTATAGAGGCGGCAGGTAGCCTAGCGGTTAAGAGCGCTGGGCCAGTAACCCAAAGGTCGCTGGTTTGAATCCCTGAGTCGATTCTGTGAAAAATCTGCAGATGTGTCATTGAGCAAGGCACTTAACTCTAACTGCTCCTGTAAGTCACTCTGGGTAAGAGAGTCTGCTAAATGACTAAGATGGGTATCTATTTTTGTATACAATTTTCATATTCATTTGAAATTCCTGTTATTTTTTGAAGATTTTTCACAAAAACAAGTGTATCTCTGTGAAATGTCAATGAAGCACTGAGTGTGTGCCAAGCTTTTTATTTTGAAAGCGTTTGACATTTAATTCAGCTTGTGTCATGCTAATTTAGCTTTTTGCGACCCGCATAAACAACTTTGAAGATGACGACCACAAAATGTTAAATCCTCAAAAGTTGTTGCGAGAAACGTGCATCGCTATGTCAACCGATGTATTAGGTTACGAAAATCGACTTTTGGGATATAATGTTAATGATATGTTAGAGAAAGACTCCACTGAACGATTCAGAACATGAATAATCATATTTGTCTTGGTAAAATGCATTTTATGACATAAAGAAGTGACATTTCATCACCAAAGTACGTTTTCACCCACACTGGACAACCTACAAAAAGCAACAAACATAATTGCAGTAGAGTAAAGATGAAAGCCGCAGTAGGGGAACAGCGTCACTGTCTGCCCCACCGACGCTGTTATTGTTTTGTTGCCTAAGCGGAGGTGTGGAGCCTCACACAACATTTAAAAAATGTGCAGTACATATTCTGCTGTTGTATCACGTGTGCAATGATTCTTAAACTCAATCGCAACTTGGAACATTATGGAAGTGCCTCAAACTCGAACTGAAAAAAAGAGAAAAGAAACACAACCTAAGAATAGCATTTCGCTATAAATTGATTATTATGTATGTTATGTATTGTCATAAGAGCCTGGTTGCCAGGTTACTCCAATCCCTCGTCACTTTAACTCTATGGAGTTAGCTATACATCATACTTACTGCATTGGACAGGGAGCTCTAACGGGACATAGTTTCTCTGGCAGAGGTATACAAAAGCAGCAGCTAGCCTACAGGGGGCTCCGGAGGGGCCCAAGACAGAGCCACAATGGCTTCTCTCACACACCGATAAGAACTGGCCTGGGTCCACCTGAGAGAGAGAGAGAGTGAGAGAGAGAGCGAGAGAGCGAGAGAGAAATAGATAGCTGTTGGCTAAGAATACATCCCGGAGGACCTGAGCCCTAGGACCATGCCTCAGGACTACCTGGCCTATTGACCCTGACCTGTTCACCGGACGGGCTACCTTGTCCCAGACCTGCTGTTTTCAACTCTCTCGCTCAACCTCTAAATGCCCGGATATGAAAAGCCAAGTGACATTTACTCCTGATGTACTGACCTGTTGCAACCTCTACAACCACTGTGATTATTATTTGACCCTGCTGGTCATCTATGAACGTTTGAACATCATGAAGAACAATCTGGCCTTAATGGCCATGTACTGTTATAATCTCCACCCGGCACAGCCAGAAGAGAACTGGCCACCCCTCAGAGCCTAGTTCCTCTCTAGGTTTCTTCATGCCTTTCTAGGGAGTTTTTCCTAGCCACCATGCTTCTACATCTGCATTGCTTGCTGTTTGGGGTTTTTGGGCTGGGTTTCTGTATAGCAATTTGTGACACCTGCTGATATAAAAAGGGCTTTATAAATACAATTTGATTGATTGATTGATTAATGCTTAGGGCTGTCCCCGACTAAAAAATCAATTGGTCAAATTTTTTTAACGTGTATTTTTCCATATATTGCCACATCTTATGTGTTTTAATCAAATCAACTATATTCTCTTAGCTTGTCTGATGCTTTAAGCACACTGTTTGATGAAATAATGAAGACACACAAATTACTAGAGGGAGTCCGACCAGTAACTGATTTGATTGTGCGGGGCCGGGCTCAGACTTGCTGCGCTGTTAAAAAAACAAAACAGCAAGTGACTGTGTGACTGGCACCCGTTGTCTCTCTCTCCTCCCTGCTGCAGCGACCACCACAGAACATCACAGTGTTTATCGCGCTGTCCGTGTTGCTGAAGCTGCAACATAACTACAGCCATTTCCGACTGAAAAGTTCTGTTACCGAAATCCCTCATTTGTTTAGGAAAAACATTCCATATTCCCTCAACCCTTGCTCTCTTTACGTGACACATGTATGCATCGCCTGCACGTGACCAAAGACCTATTCCCACCGGACTAGTATTACTAGAGAACGTTGGTTATGTAATTATTACTCCAGAATGTTCTTTATTCCAGAGTACGATTCGGACGAAATTCGTTTTTTCCAAACTGCCCCCTATAAATTATTTTTGTATTTATTTTTTAATAAATGTACAGTTATGACGGAAGTCTGGAGGTTTTTATTCTAGGCGTGAAGATGCAGTATTTCAACAAGCCACACTGATAACTCCAGCTTGGTTCCCAAGTTTCAAAGCCATACCAGACCATCTTTGGTAGAGTGTTGCCATAATACTTGAATTGAGGAAGTGTGATCATTAGGATAGTTTTGCGATCGGCAGTACATCCTAAATGCCCCCCAGCCTTCAGATGTGAGTTAACAGTGCAATTGCACTTGAGGTGTGTTTTAAGGCAATGGATGAGAAAGTTAATTTATCATATCCAAATGTTTAGGTCAGCTGTATGCTGCTTTGCGATCTATTAACAGCAAGGGTTGCATTAAATAGGCTCAATATTTTTTACTTATGCATTTGCCAATATTCAATTCATATGCACAAAACATATCAACAAAAGCATTCACTGTAAAAGTTGATAGGCTACATGTAGGCCATTCATATATAGGCTATGCGCAGCACTTCAGTTTATCCAATCAGTTATTGTTTTCTTGCGCAAACCGCAAGCAACACCTGTCAAACTCAGACATTTATCTCAAAACACAGGTATGTCGATTTGCACGGGACTAGTATTATCAGAAGACCTTGGAGTTCGCCAAAAAACTGTATGTTATTCTGGCTGGAATTGTCACTCTCCTGCCCTGTAAAAATTACTGACATGTCAGATTCGGACGGGGCAAAGATTACAGATGTGGTGTTTTGTGCTGGCGCACACAATTACATTACCCGACCTCCCCCAGTAAAATAAATCACATCTGAATAGGGCACAATAGGGCCTGACCTATAGCATATCTTAATCACATCAATAAATTGGCTATAACAAACTCTGGATGCGCTCTTAGGCCTACAGCTCAATGGTGGTCATACAAGGCTGCTATACTAAGCCTACTAATGATAATGACATTACTTATTATTATAATGATGATCATAATATTAATAATAACAATAAGAAGGAGATCAAGAAAAATTAGTGTTATTATTATTATAAATATAATAAATATACTTTTTTGGAAAATGTTGAACAGTGTAAACACTAAATTAATGATAATTAATAGCAGAGAGGCTGTTCTAACGAAAAAAGTGTAAAGTCTTTATTACAAAGATTAAAAACAGCCTAATTTGTGAAATTGTTTACTTGACCAGTCATTGCGTGAGGCTTGGTGCTCACGGAATCAGTAGGCTATTAAACAAACACTCAAATAGGCAACAGAAGCAGGATCTGTCTTATTTCTGTAGATACTGTATATTGATGATTTTTAAAGCCAGGCACATTTAACAGCTATTGATTATACAGTTGAAGTCTGAATTTTACATACACTTAGGTTGGAGTCATTAAAACTTGTTTTTCAACCACTCCACAAATGTCTTGTTAACAAACTATAGTTTTGGCAAGTCGGTTAGGACATCTACTTTGTGCATGACACAAGTAATTTTTCCAACAATTGTTTACAGACAGATTATTTCACTTATAATTCACTGTATCACAATTCCAGTGGGTCAGAAGTTTACATACACTAAAGTTGACTGTGCCTTTAAACAGCTTGGAAAATTCCAGAAAATGATGTCATGGCTTTAGAAGCTTCTGATAGGCTAATTGACATCATTTGAGTCAATTGGAGGTGTACCTGTGGATGTATTTCAAGGCCTACCTTCAAACTCAGTGCCTCTTTGCTTGACATCATGGGAAAATCAAAAGAAATCAGCCAAGACCTCAGAAAAAATATTGTAGACCTCCACAAGTCTGGTTCATCCTTGGGAGCAATTTCCAAACGCCTCAAGGTACCACGTTCATCTGTACAAACAATAGTATGTAAGTATAAACACCATGGGACCACGCAGCCGTCATACCGCTCAGGAAGGAGACGCATTCTCTCCTTGAGATTAACGTACTTTGGTGCGAAAAGTGCAAATCAATCCCAGAACAACAGCAAAGGACCTTGTGAAGATGCTGGAGGAAACAGGTACACAAGTATCTATATCCACAGTAAAACGAGTCCTATATTGACATAACCTGAAAGGCCGCTCAGCAAGGAAGAAGTCACCGCTCCAAAACCGCCATAAAAAAGCCAGACTACGGTTTGCAACTGCACATGGGGACAAAGATCGTACTTTTTGGAGAAATGTCCTCTGGTCTGATGAAACAAAAATATAACTGTTTGGCCATAATGACCATCGTTATGTTTGGAGGAAAAAGGGGAATGCTTGCAAGCCGAAGAACACCATCCCAACTGTGAAGCACGGGGGTGGCAGCATCATGCTGTGGGGGTGCTTTGCTGCAGGAGGGAATGGTGCACTTCAAAAAATAGATGGCATCATGAGGAAGGAAAATTATGTGGATATATTGAAGCAACATCTCAAGACATCAGTCAGGAAGTTAAAGCTTGGTTGCAAATGGGTCTTCCAAATGGACAATGACCCCAAGCATACTTCCAAAGTTGTGGCAAAATGGCTTAAGGACAACAAAGTCAAGGTATTGGAGTGGCCATCACAAAGCACTGACCTCAATCCTATAGAAAATGTGTGGGCAGAACTGAAAAAGCGTGTGCGAGCAAGGAGGCCTACAAACCTGACTCAGTTACACCAGCTCTGTCAGGAGGAATGGGACAAAATTCACCCAACTTATTGTGGGAAGCTTGTGGAAGGCTACCCGAAACATTTGACCCAAGTTAAACAATTTAAAGGCAATGCTACCAAATACTAATTGAGTGTATGTAAACTTCTGACCCACTGGGAATGTGATGAAATAAATAAAAGCTGAAATAAATCATTCTCTCTACTATTATTCTGACATTTCACATTCTTAAAATAAAGTGGTGATCCTAACTGACCTAAGACAGGGAATCTTTACTAGGATTATATGTCAGGAATTGTGAAAAACTGATTTTAAATGTATTTGGCTAAGGTGTATGTAAACTTCCGACATCAACTGTAGATCTAATTAAAAGTTGGCGTTTCCTCTCTCCTCACTTTTCTTAGACAATAAGGCGAGGGCTGTTTTCTCATCTCCTCATTCTGCTGCTGCCTCCGCTGCATTGTTCTCAACACCAATATGCTGGTTAACCTTGCTATCATGCACATAGCAACATGGTCTAGGAAAAGGCGCCAGTTCAACAGCGCACTGATGTGTTTCTGAACCGTTGGAAAGCGACCACTATCCAATGCGGGAGAAAGCATTTGTTATAAAATAATATTATTTGTATTAGTGTTGCACCATTGTTCTTACGTAATATAACCATATACAATTTCAGTAGCATGTCTTAGAGTGATGGACTGTGCCATCCCCACGGCCTCCACAATGGATCAGTCCACTCAGACAGGCGCCAATCAGACAGGTGTCTTGTACACTATGATTGCAAAACATTTTTTTTTTTGCTACTGCTTGACTAAAGAAATCTCGGTCAGACCAACAACCTATCGACCAAACAATCGACCAGTCGACTAAATGGGGTCAGCCCTAGTAATGCTGCACAGTATACACCAAGTGTGTGTGTAAAGCTGTCCTCACCACTCTGAAGCAGGAGCCCAGTGGAGAGTCACGGGCAGAGAAGAGAAAGTCACAGCTCAGAGAGTCGGCAGTCATCTTAGAACAGGGCTCTGCTATCTGTGGGACACCGCCACACTCAGGACTGATCTGTAGGCAAAAACACATGGGAATGAGAATGAAAAGCACATTCATAGATTTTTTATTTATGTAGGAGGCTATAACTGTAAAGCCATAATGTGTCAAATGTGTCTTGTCCTACCTGCCAGCTGTGCACAAAGTCAGCCATGTTGTCAGCCTGGGAGCCATCAGGAAGAGGGAAGTCATTTCCTGCTTCATTGTCATTGGTCCCTAGGACACCAGTGGACACACCTGCATAGACAATCAAAGACAGTGAATGACATATAATGACATATAGACAGTGAAGGAGTCACTAATTACCTCTGCTTGTCTACTTGAACTAAATAATACTACCATACATCGGTATAAATATGACATGAGATTCTCTGGGAAAAAAAGCTTTTGGTGGAAGTCCGTACTCAGTAAACCTAAACAGTAATTATTGTTATCAAAAGCGTAATGGTGCGCAAATGTCTTATTTTGAATTACGTTCATACCATGTAGCCAGCCATTCAGAGTCAGGCTGCACAGGTCGAGCGATGGGTCACAAGACACCAGCGCTCCATTCTGATTGGACACCTCAACAACATTCCCCTCTTTCCTGATGACCAGTCCATTATCACTGTAGGATGTCTGTGTGCCATGACAATTGGATTTCACCTGTAATAGTAGAAAAATTATATCTGTTTTATCAAATCATCCTTTCAATAATGTCATTATCTGAAATACTGTATAGAGAACAGTGTAAAAACCGTTTATTATAATGTCCTGTACCTCTCCATTGTGGTGGATGGTGACAGTGCTGTTATTCATCCGCACCACCAGAGTGCGCTGTGAGTTGGAGTCTGAACCTAGTAGCACAGTGAAGGAGTCATCCTGAGTGACATCGCGGGCTAGGATGACTGGACACGGGCCTGGCAGCTCATACAGGTGGCCGTCGAACGACACCACAAACTGGTCGGCCACCAACAGAGCTACATCTGGTGAAGGGAGGGAGGGACGGAGAGAGAGAGGGACAGAGAGAGGGATCGGCTAATATCACAAAGGATGGATGAGACCAAAGATGCATTTTAGAGATATTAAAATAACGGACCAATAAATAAATGGCTTTTTCTCAATTAATCTTTCCTCAATTCCTTGCATCCTGTCTCCTCGCCTCCTTCTCAACAGTTTGGGAGGAGAAGGTCCATGGTTGGCAAGCAGATGAGGTGAGCAAATTCAAGGAAACATACATTGAGAAAGAGCCCACGGCTCCAATCCCAATACAAAATGGCGATCTAGCTCACGGCAGAAGGGGCTGTCCATGATCCTCCTCTTGAGGCGGTAGAGCTCGGCGGTGGGTCTGAGGGAGGTGAGGGCCTGCAAGGGCCTGAGGAGCCACTCCTCCAGAAGGACCTCCACCACCCCAAACTTCTCCATCCTGGACCAAGGGCCCCACGCCAGGGGCAGAGGTATAGTTACAGACACAGCGCAGTCACTGGGGGAGTAAAATATAATAAAATAGATACTTTATTGTCCATTTTTGTAAGAACAGAAATGTGTCTTCTGCCTATCTCAACAAAAACATGCAACAATCATGTTCCTTGTAGCTCAAGTACATGATAAACTCACTCTAGGAAATGTTTAAGGATATTCTTTAATTTAATACAAAATAATACAGTTAACAAACAGAAACGGAAGCTCTAGTAGAGTTCAAACCTTGCGGAGAGTTTGTACACCGAGGCCAATCTTCTTCTGACCCCCGCCAAGGCTACTGCCAACCTCAACTCTGCCCAGTGGGCAGTCTGATGGCTCACCTGGTACAAATATGCAAGCGTAAATTGCCAGAAATAAACTCCTTCGTTATTCCTACAACCACACAACTCTCTCCAAAATGGCTGCCATACCAATCGGTCATTCCCCTTTTCTAGTATAGTGTCTCAATCCACTATAAACTCACCACATCCAGGACAGTGCTGAGGGTAGTGAGGGTGAACTGGGCTACGGGTCTGAGATGAGGGTTCTCCAGTAGGGGGGGTAGGAGCTCCACCAGTCTGTCTGTCCACATGGACACAGCCTCCCTCCATACAGAGTCTACCTTCTGGCCTGTCACATCATGGTACGCCCCGGCTATAGTGGCCAGTGGTCCTGGGAATGGGGATAATGGAGGTGGTAAAGTTAGAAGGTGTAGGTATGTACTGTACACGCATATGCACACACAGAGACACAAACACTCACTGAACCTCCATAAACTTGTCAACTCAGGTGAGTGACATTACCAGACTGATAGCATAAACCCTAGGGGTTAGGTTAAGATAAGTTTATGACAGGGTTAGACTCCCAACGATAGGTCAAAGGTCACTCACTCCTGAGCTCATGCTGTCCAAGCTGAGAGGCGTGCTGTAGCAGGAGGAGGAGGCGTGGCAGGCAGTGGGACAGAGCGTGGCGTAGTCGGCTGGTCCTCCAGGAGCCCCACGCTCCTCCCTCTCTCTGCCCCAGCAGGGTCTCTGTTCTCTGGGTAAAACGTAGGGCTGCGCCACTCAGGTCCTGAAGCAATTCAATGTCCTTAGACTAGTGGCAGGAGGATTACAGGGCATAATTGTTAGAAAGCTGTTAAGAAACATTAGTGGATTAATCTATGGAGTACTAACATTTGATTTGGACAGATGCTCTTTTCCTGAGCTACTTAATATTACAATTAGTGCATTCAAGTAAGGGTCTATGTATTCAAGCATTCAAGTAAGTCATATACCACGGATGTAAATTAATTTCCAAAGCAAACCTGCAGGCCAAATTCTGTCAGGAGTTGCTGTAACGTCTGCACTCTCTCCAAGATCTTATTCCTCATCTGAGAGCCCAAATGGTGGACCTGAGCCTGGAGACGGCATTGAAATAGTGGGATAATCAGGAAACTGGTTTCAGGAAGTCTGGTAGGATGTCTCATGTTTTCATGAGACAGATCAACGGTCGCTTTCTACTGGGTGTAAATCTCTTACCTCCACTGCCAATAGGCTCTCTGCACATCCCCTGGCCCGTAACAACAGGCTCTGATTGGCTGTGCCCACGGAGACGGACGTGAGTGACTCAAGCAGAGTCCCGTCCTCTCGTCTCAGTACTTCAAGGGTTAGGCCTAACTTCCGTTGGCCCTCCAGACACAGTGCCACTGTGAGGTCCTCATCTGGTCCTATAGCTGCACACACACACACAAACACACACACACACACACACACCAAAGACACAATTATGAACACCAGTCAAGTAAAATCTTAGATCATGACATGATCTATTGAGATGAAAGATATACAATGGGCTTGCCTAACATTACTAGCCACAACTTATTTTGTTCTCAATCTTCAAGCCTATATTACCGTTCCCATATCCAGCTGTGGTGTGTAGACAGCGTCCCTCTAGTGCCCCCCTCAGCCACACCTGCTCACTGCGGTCGAGTCTGACCTGGATCTGCAGCCCAGGACCCCGCAGGGAGGAGAGTGCACTGCCCCCTACCTCCACACTCCAGTTACCCACCATAGACTACAGCACAGACAGGCACACAGACGGACAGACAGACACACACAGGTAAAAAGGTAAATACTTTACACGGTGCAGATACAGATGGCTATAAACTCTAATGGTATGAACACATGACCTTGCCCCATGCCCTATAATACAATCATGTATATTACCATATAATACACATACAATGTACATAATAAAGACCATAATGTACATACAGTATATTAAAATAATACCCTGGTAAAGGCTAATAGCAGTGCTCACCTCAGTTACCAGTGATATGTTGGTGCTGTATGCAGTGGAGGAGTTGGTGAGAGCCAGGCTGAGGCTGCAGTGTGGATGTCCCGTCACAGAGAGACGGGTCTTGGTGTACAGCAGCTCTGCCCCTATGTTCACTCTGTGGTACCCAGACCAGCCAAGAGACTGTCATATAGATACACACACACACACACAGAAAACAACACACTGGTTGTACTAAGTGCTTACTCTGTCTCTGTACAACAGTATAATAATGAAGTTAGGTCGACGATGACCTAACAGGATGACCATACTCACCAGGTGTGGGGGACAGAGGCCCACCTGTATGTGGTGCTCCATCCTGTCTCTGAGGTTGGTGTGGAACTGGGCCAGCAGGGTGTGTGAGGGACATGGGGGCGGGAGACACGTTCTCTGCTCCAGCCTCCAGCTGGAGGGTGTGTAGTCCTGTGGCACTCCTCTGTGGAAACACACAACACACACTCTAGAGACTACACTATTAACCCTTTAAATAGAGTAAGATGTATCAATTATTTACATTCCAAATAACCATTATGTGATCCAGATTAGTGATTTCTCGCACCGATCACCTCCAAAAAAGAATGGTGTGCCTTTATTTAACCAGGTAAGTAATCGAGAACACATTTTACAATAATGACCTGAATTCAGTACCTGGTAGTTCATGCTTTGTCTGAGGCTCTTGTCACCCCACTTCAGCTCAGCATTCTGGGAGTAGGAGGTTCCCTTCCTTGGCCACTGAGACACATCCCTCAACAGCCACCAGGGAAGGGACTACTGCCTGTAGGTCACACAAGCACACACACTCCAGCTGAGCTCCAGATGAAAGATTAGAAAAAACAAAACAAGTCTTGGGTGTAGCATTAAGATAATCTTAAATCGATTGGTAGGCAACGGATGAACAACGTTCTTAACGTTTTGGGAAACACATCCCTGTTAACCTTTATTAACCAGTGGGAACCATCAACAATAGATGGTACTAGAGTGGGAATTTGTACCCACAGACTTAAATAGAACATGCTATTGTGTCTATGGTTGTACCTCTGCAGGAGAGAAGCGGGCACAGGCCTGCCCCCTAGTGAAGCTGTCCAGCCACTGTTGGCTGAGGGTGAGGGAAACATTCACAGGAAATCCACTGTCCCAGGAGACATGGGTCTGAGCTCACAGAGAGAGAGAGAAAGAGAGAGAGACACACACACGTCATAAATCAATTATATTGATACGTGTGTGTGGTGTGTGCACGTGTCCATCTTGCCGGTACCTGATGGTTGCTTCTTTGGTCTGTGGCCGAGGTGTGTGAGATTGTGTGCAGGTAGAGTTGGGAGAGTGTTACGGTGAATGGCTGTCTCAGCTCCATTGTTGTCTCACTACTCTCCCCCTGACCCCTCCACAAGGAGAGAGCTCGAACCTGAACAAACACAAAAACACAAATCAGATCCACAGTAACACATTCCAGAAAGACAACATGAAGTACTACAATCATCCTATACAGGCCTATATTGTCTCCTTCAGGCATCCTCTCTGGGGAATAAGGTTGCAAAATTCCCAAACCTTTCCCAAAATGCACTGTTTTTTCAAGAATCCCAGTTGGAGGATTCTCATGCAGCTTGAAAAAACAGGGAATGTTGCAACCCTACTGGGGATCAAGCAGTATACTCATTCATTCATTTGTCCATTCATTTATGAATTCATTCACACATCAATTCATTCCAATGATCCAATACATTGTTGACTCTCAACTCATAGCTCAGTAGTGTAACCAGTCTCACCTCCTCCTGTCTTCCATGTCTGTTCCAGCCCAGCACAACACTGTCCAGTCTACCATGGAGGGAGCGCTCTAACGCCACATCCAGACTGCACCCGCGAGGCACAGACGCAATCTGAACTGAGGACAAGGAAACACGTCACATAGGTAAAGCCTGCAGGTATAATGTTTAATAAGTTCCTATATGTATATATGAGCCTAGATCATGTCTTACAATAAGGCATGATGTTATTATTTCTATGTACATTCCAACAGACTCAAAATAGCGGGTATTTAGTCAGAAGTATTAGTACAAGATGATTTTAAGACAGTATGAGCTGGTTATACATGAAACTGGCCAATAGTGTATAGTACCATTGAGTGTGCGGTCTCCCAGCTGCAGTCCTGGAGGGGCAGCGTAGAGGCCTGCCATGTTGAACTCCTGACTGCCCCACACGGCCCAATGCTGCAGCTGGTGGCTCCAGTTCCTCGCCTCGTACAACATCCTCACTGCAATGTTCCTAGGCAGGGGCTTCAGCTAACAACACAACCAATCGCATGGTCAAACGCAGGGTTGGGTAAGGGGTCAATGACATTTAAATTGAGGAAGTAAACTGAAATTCCGATTCCAATTTCTTCCAATGTCTCAATTACATTGAGGAACATTTGAATTTCAGTTTAACATCCTGAATTGATCGAATTGAAATAAAAACTGACCCCAACCCTGGAAATAAGTACATCACAAAGTATTAGTATGAAAGCTGTGATGGTGGCATGGTAGGAACGGTTATTCAGAATGCATAATCTTAGTGTTTGCAGATGATTTGGAAAGATTCCATTGTTTGCGGATCTGAATGAACTACATATCTGAAGGAACCTAGTCTTCCAACAGACTTTTAAAAAAGCTTACGCCATATTATTTACACCTATCCAGCACCTACAACAATGTTTTTAGTGTGAACTCATAACTAGGAGACAGCTTGTACAGTGAATGGGTGCCTACCTGTGGGTAGGTGTGGTTGAGCTCCAGGGCTTGACGGTAGCCGCCCTCAGTGACAGCCAGCTCCCCCAGAGCCCACAGCTTCCTCCTGCCCGACTGCAGCTCCACCAGCCCCCTGACACTGGAGCCTGACTGGTTCAACTGAACACAGAAACAGGTGAGCTCTGTTAGACTAAGCCACATGTGTCAAACAAAAGGCCTGCGGAGCAAAGATACACTACATGACCAAAAGTATGTGGACACCTGCTTGTCGAACATCTCATTCCAAAATCATGGGCATTAATATGGAGTTGGTCCCCCCTTTGCTGCCATAACAGCCTCCACTCTTCTGGGAAGGCTTTCCACTAGATGTTGGAACAATGCTGCAGGGACTTCAGCCACGAGAGCATTAGTGAGGTCGATCACTGATGGGCGATTAGGCCTGGCTCGCAGTCGGCGTTCCAATTTATCCCAAAGGTGTTCGATGGGGTTGAGGTCAGGGCTCTGTGCAGGCCAGTCAAGTTCTTCCACACCGATCTCGAAAAACCATTTCTGTATGGACCTCACTTTGTGCACGGGGGCATTTTTATACTGAAACAGGAAAGGGCCTTCCCCAAACTGTTGCCATAAAGTTGGAAGCACAGAATCGTCTAGAATGTATATGTATGCTGGTGCTTTAAGATTTCCCTTCACTGGAACTAAGGGACCTAGCCTGAACCATGAAAAACAGCCCCAGACCATTATTTCTCCTCCACTAAACTTTACAGTTGGCACTTTGCATTGGGGCAGGTAGCGTTCTCCTGGAATCCGCCAAACCCAGATTAGTCCGTCTGACTGCCAGATGGTGAAGCGTGATTCATTACTCCAGAGAACGTGTTTCCACTGCTCCAGAGTCCAATTGCGGAGAGCTTTACACCACTCCAGCCGACGCTTGGCATTGCACATGGGGATCTTAGGCTTGTGTGCAGCTGCTCGGCCATGGAAATCCATTTCATTCGCACCGGCTTATCGACTCGTTGTGCAGCCCAGTCAGTCACGCAAAATGGTCTTGAGTGGCAACAAATCTGCCCAATTAGCTGATTTGCTTTTCATACACCCACTTGTGTTGATCCTCCCACTTATTTCGCCACGCCCACTTCCAGACACACTCCATGTATGCAGATACCCATGACTATGATTTTACAGCCTGATGCATCGGTGTATTCAACGTCAATTGCGCTGCTTACAGGGGTATTGTCTATACAAGCGGCACTCTCTTAGCCATGCTAGCTTCACCCTCATGTGGGTATTAACAAGCTAGCAAGCAAGTTAGGTATTGCTAGGTATCATCAGCCATTGTGCTTCCATCTATAGCTAGAGGACTCCAGATATCTCCAGGAGTGATAAGTATAAGCTGTTGTTGTCTAGTACTGTCTTTTTGATAGCTAGGGCCATCTACTTTAAAGTGCTGTCTGTCTTCCCAGCAGCCTACTTGTTGTGTGAACTGCTGACTGCTCATAACTTGCAGCTGATTGTTGACACATCAACCAGGATTAAGGGGCAGGGCAATATGTGATTGTTGTTCTTCTTCTATGGTATAATGGCGTTCGCAACAATTAGATGTGCGTTCTGCCACCTACTGTGCGGGTGGATAATAAGGATCCCAAAAAGGAAAACATTTCGGTAATAATAAAAAATAAATAATTCAAACTACCAAAAAAGAAATTAACTAAACAAAATCAACCTGCTTTTCTGTAAAAAACTCATTTTAATCAGGTCCCAACACAGGCTCCTGTGAGGGCGGGACATTTCCTAGCGACAATAGTCATTGTAGTGCTTCTGCCGTGAAGTCTTGGCGCCCCAAAAACTTCTCGGCTTCTTAGACACTTGTGCTGTACAATTAATCACTGTTAACCTCTTAAGAATCGGACCCTTTATTTCATTTTTAGCCTAAAATGACATCCCCAAACCTAACTGCCTGTAGCTCAGGACCTGAAGCAAGGACATGCAAATTCTTGATACCATTTGAGAGGAAACACTGAAGTTTGTGGAAATGTGAAATTAATGTAGGAGAATATAACAGAATAATTTGATCTGGTAAAAGATAATACAAACAAAAAAACATGAGTTTTATATAAAAAAAATTGTTCCATCGTCTTTGAAATGCAAGAAAAAGGCCACAATATAATATTGCAGTTTAGGCGCAATTTAGATAAGTGATACGTTTTTTGTTCTTGTGCACTCTCCTCAAACAATAGCATGGTATTTTTTCACTGTAATAGCTACTGTACATTGGACAGTGCAGTTAGATTAACAAGAATGTAAGCTTTCTGCCCATATAAGACATGTCTATGTCCTGGAAAGTTTGCTGTTACTTACACAGTCATGCTAATCACATTAGCGCACGTTAGACACCGATCCCGTAGAGGTTAACTACCTTCTTCACAATGAGTGTATCCAGATCACCCGATTGACTTAAAACACTTGCAACTGGTTGCAATGCATCCACCACAATATCTTTAACACGGTTCCTTCTTGCCCCTTCGACTCTCTTCACCACCTCCACATAGGAGATCCGCTGCGCAGGGCACTCAAGGAAGTCCGGAGTATGATCCCCACCACAGTTGCAACATTTTCCATTCTCTGATTCTTCAAAATACTTCTCCCGTCTATAAGCATTTGACACGTGACCACATCCTTTACAATTTCCACACTGTAATGGTTTGGACACAAATGCGCTCACCACATACCTCACAATTCCAAGCTTCACATATTCTCAGAGTCAGAGTCTCCTCAAACAACAATAATATCGATAGGCTTTTCTCCTTCCTTCCATTTACCAAACGGGTCAGGCGACGTGCACTGACCACTCCTGGGATTTTCTGACTAAGGTACTCATCATCTACAGCTGTGGAAAAAATTAAGAGACCACTGCAAATGTTTCTTAAATCAGCATCTCTACATGTATGACAGCCATTCCATTCCAGTGTCTGTTGAATTCCAACACAGGCACACCTCATTCTACTGAATTAGGTACTGATTAGGTGATCACATGAACCAACAAGGAAAAGTATAAAAACCACTGCTGTGGTTATCACTATCCTCTTGCAATAGGACCAGCTGGATGGCAAAAACAGTGCTAATAGTACCTCAAAAATAATATTAATAAAAAAATAACGATTGACCATGCCAAAAGAGTTGAAAAGGAAAGTTGAGTGAGGAAAAGAAGGGTTCAATTCTGGCTTTACTGGCAGAGGGATACAGTGAGCGTCAGGTTTCTTCCATCCTTAAAATTTCAAAGACGGCGGTTCATAAGAACAAGGTCAAGCAGCAGACATTGGGGACAACAAAGCTACAGACCGGCAGAGGGCGAAAAAACTCTCTACTGACCAGGATGACCGCCAACTCATTCGAATGTCACTCAACAACCGTAGGATGACATCAAGTGACCTACAAAAAGAATGGCAAACGGCAGCTGGGGTGAACTGCACAGCGAGTTCGAAACAGGCTCCTAGGGGCAGGGCTGAAGTCGTGCAAAGCTAGAAAAAAGCCCTTCATCAATTAGAAGCAAAGAAGAGCCAGGCTGAGGTTTGCAAAATACCATAAGGATTGGACCGTAGAGGGCTGGAGTAAGGTCATCTTCTCTGATGAGTCCAATTTTCAGCTTTGCCCAACACCTGGTCGTCTAATGGTTAGACGAAGACCTGGAGAGGCCTACAAGCCTCTGTGACATTTGGTGGAGGATCGGTGATGATCTGGGGGTGCTTCAGCAAGGCTGGAGTCGGGCAGTTTTGTCTTGGTGAAGGATGCATGAATCAAGCCTCGTACAAGGTTGTCCTGGAAGAAAACCTGCTTCCTTTTGCTCTGACATTGTTCCCCAACTCTGAGGATTGGTTTTTCCAGCAGGACAATGTGCCATGCCACACAGCCAGGTCAATCAAGGTGTGGATGGAGGACCACCAGATCAAGACCCTGTCATGGCCAGCCCAATCTCCAGACCTGAACCCCATTGAAAACTTCTGGAATGTGATCAAGAGGAAGATGGATGGTCACAAGCCATCAAACAAAGCCGAGCTGCTTGAATTTTTTGAGCCAGGAGTGGCATAAAGTCACCCAACATCAATGTGAAAGACTGGTGGAGAGCATGCCAAGACACATGAAAGCTGTGATTGAAAAATCAGGGTTATTCCACCAAATATTGATTTCATTAGTATTGTGTTGTTTAAAAATGAACATGAACTTATTTTCTTAGCATTATTCGAGGTCTGACAACACTGCATCTTTTTTGTTATTTTGACCAGTTGTCATTTTCTGCAAATAAATGCTCTAAATGACAATATTTTGGGGGGGAATTTGGGAGAAATGTTGTCAGTAGTTTATAGAATAAAACAAAAATGTTATTTTTACCCAAACACATATCTATAAATAGTAAAACCAGAGAAACTGATAATTTTGCAGTGGTCTCTTAATTTTTTCCGCAGCTGTATATCCAACAAGACTCCAGCTATAACTCCTTTGGCAGGCGCCCTGCTCCGAAGATCAATACATGTTACTTCTGACTTGAAGAATTCATCCAGATCCAGTGCACACTTCTGCTGTTCTTCATCAACACAATTAACCAAAACAAGTCCGCTTCTAGTCACCTTGATTGAATCCACCTTTCCCACTGCTTTCTTCACAGTCCTCGATATTACAAATGGATTTCCCAAATGAATCTCCTTGTCACACACATCACTTGCAGCACTTACAGATTCAAGCACAGTCGCCATTTTCCCCCTTCATGCTGCTTGGCTTCTCTCTGGTGGTTTGCACCCGATTGTTGTTGTTTTTTGTAATCAGTGGCTGTATTGGAGGGGGAGATGTTTATTAATCTCCTAGGCAATCAGCAATTACTACTGGGAGGTGTGCTCTTCACCTCTGCTAGGCAATTACATTACATTACAGAGACATGGATCACCCCAGAGACACTGCTACTCTGCTACTCCAGCTACTCTCTCTTCATCTGACTACGTGTTCTCTCATAGTCCGAAAGCATCTGGTCGACACGGTGGTGGCACAGGGCTACTAATGTCTCCTATAATTGAGATTTTCCATCTCCTAATTTGAATTTCATTCTGTCACTGTCACTTGTCCACTCAAGCTTAACATTGTCATCTATCACCACCAGGTGCTCTTAGAGAGTTCTTCAATGAGCTTGACATCTTGATAAGCTCATATCCTGACGATGGCTCACCGCTCATCGTACTGGGCGACTTCAATGTCTGCCTTCGATTCATTTCTTTCTACCTCTTTCTTTCCCTTTCTTGCCTCTTTTGACCTCACCCTTTCCCAGTCCTCTCCCACTCACAAGGCAGGCAATACTGTTGACCTCATCTTTACTAGAGGCTGTTTGCCTACTAATCTCATTGCAACCCCCCTCAGGTCTCTGATCACTACTTTGTTTCCTTTTCTGTCTCCCTCTCCTCCAACCCTACCCACTCAGCCCCTACCCAGATGGTCATGCGCCGTCGTAATCTTTGCTCTCTTGTTTCCACTACTCTCTCCTCTTCTATCATCTCTCCCTTCTGCTAAATCCTTTTCCCTCCTGTCTCCCGCTTCTGCCTCTTTGACCCTACACTCCTCCCTTTCCGTATCCAATGACTCTCACTATCCCCTTTCCTCCCGGCTGGCTCGGCAGTCCCCTCCTGCTCTGTGGCTGAGTGATTCATTGCGAGCTTACAGAACAGGGCAGCTGAGAGAAAATTGAAAACTAAACTTCCAGAAGACCTATCATCCTTTCACTCCTTTCTCTCTACCCTCTTTTCCTCTCTATCACCTGCTAAAGCCATTTTCTATTACTCAAAATGTCAAGCTTCTGCCTCTATCCCTAGGAAACTATTTTCCACCTTCTCCTCCCGCCTTAATCCTCCACCCTCTCTCCCACCCTACTCCTTCTCTGCGGATTACTTTGTCAACCACTTTGAAAAGAAGGTTGACGACATCCGCTCCTCATTCACTGGTCCCACACAGAACTACCCTACGCCTTGACCTCGTTGTCCCTTCTCTCTCCAGATGGAATCCTGTGACTAGTGATGTCCGGCTGCACGACAACCTGCCCACTCGACTCCCTCCTCCTTTCCAAAACACTTGACCAACTCTCTCACTATCTCTCTCAGACCGATCTGCTTGACCCTAACCAGTCAGGCATCAAGACGGGTAACTCAACCGAGACTACTGCCAAAGCTGAATCTCTCCTCTGTTCTCATCCTCCTAGATCTAGCCGCTGCCTTCTACACCGTGAACCATCATCTCCTACTCTCCACCCTCTTAGGGCTGGGCATTTCAGGCTCTGCACACTTTTGGATTGCATCCTACCTGGCAGGCCACTCCTACCAGGTGACGTGGAGTGGATCTGTGTCTGCACAATGTACTCTCACAACTGGTGTCCCCCAGGGCTCGGTTCTAGGCCCTTTCCTCTATCCACCAAGTCACTCGGCTCCGTCATATCCTCACATGGTCTCTCCTATCATTGCTTTGCAGATGACACTCAACTAGAGGTCTTCACAGGTCCAAAAAGTTGGACCCGTTCTGAAATGGACCTGGGGCTTTCCCACCCGGACCGATATGCACAAATATATATTTTTTTAAATATAGACACCTGTTCCGAATGGATCCACGGACAACTAGACCCGTTCCGTATAGACCTGGTCGGATCCAGACCCGGTCCGATCCAAGTGATGGAAGCAGCAGAAAAGTCATTTTTTTAAAGCTACTTAATTAACCGGAGCTGATAAGGCACAAGAGGAAGGAGAGAGAGCTGCCGCTCTAGCAGGCAGGAGGGGGCCGTACTGTGAGCGAGTGACACAGGGATCAGGGAGGGAGCAGGGAGGGAGAGACGAAAGACAGCAACTAACCAACCAACAAGTTAACTCGCACTATAGTAGACTAATAGCTGTCATAGCTTGGTTATTTATCATCAAATATGATTACGTGGTACCTGTCTTGAGTGCATCAATCCGGGAGAAGCTAGCTAACATTAGATAGCTAGGCTAATTGAGGCTGCAGTGCATGCGCTTTCTCATCCTATAGTTACAAATAACAACAACTCCATTCAGAATAAGTAGCAGCCTACCTGTTGGCTCTTGGTCGTTGTAGCCTATCCTTCTCCTTTAACTTTTAATTCCGTCATTTTAATTCCATCTTCGATTGATTAGATATCTCCTAACTTTTGCCACACACTGAGGCTCTATGACTGTAGCCTATTGCCTCTTTGATGACTTATGATTGGCTAACAAATCAAATCAAATTGTATTTGTCACATGCGCCAAATACAACAGCTGTAGACCTTACCGTGAAATGCTTCCTTACAAGCTCTTAACCAACAATGCAGTTTTAAGAAAATAGAGTTAAGAAAATATTTACTAAATAAACTTTTTTTTAAAGTTACACAATAAAATAACAATAATGAGGCTATATACAGGGGGTAACGGTACAGAATCAATGTGCGGGGGTACAGGTTAGTCGAGGTCATTTCTACATGTAGGTAGGGGTAAAGTGATTATGCAAAGATAATAAACAGTGAGTAGCAGCAGTGTAAAAACAAAGGTGTGGGTGTCAATGCAAATAGTCTGGGTGGCCATTTGATTTATTGTTCAGCAGGCTTATGGCTTGGGGGTAGAATCTGTTAAAGAGCCTTCTGGACCTAGACTTGGTGCTCCGGTACAGCTTGCTGTGCGGTAGCAGAGAGAACAGTCTATGACTTGGGTGACTGGAGTCTTTGACAATTTTTTGGGCTTTCCTCTGACACCGCCTAGTATATAGGTTCTGGATGGCAGGAAGCTTGTCCCCAGTGATGTACTGGGCTGTACGAACTACCCTCTGTAGTGCCTTACGGTTGGATGCCGAGCAGTTTCCATACCAGGCTGTGATGCAACTGGTCAGGATGCTCTCGATGGTGCAGCTGTAGAACTTGTTGAGGATCTGGGGACCCATGCCAAATTTTTTCAGTCTGCTGAGGGGGAAAAGGCATTGTCGTGCCCTCTTCACGACTTTCTTGGTGTGTTTGGACCATGTTAGTTTGTTGGTGATGTGGACACCAAGGAACTTGAAACTCTCGACCCGCTACACTACAGCCCCGTCGATGTGAATGGGGGCGTGTTTGGCCCTCCCTTTCCTGTAGTCCACAATCAACAAGCTACACGCGCCACACACCAGAGCAGCAGTATAAATGATAGAATGTCTCTTTCTCTACTGCAGCAGTCGTGTTCAGATCTGTATGGGCCCTTCCTGGACAAGTCAGTTAAAATTACGCATACATTTTTTACATTTTAGTCATTTAGCAGACGCTCTTATCCAGAGCGACTTACAGTTAGTGAGTGCATACATTATAATGTTTTTTTTTTTTTTTTCATACTGGCCCCCCATGGGAATATCGAACCCACAACCCTGGTGTTGCAAACGCCATGCTCTACCAACTGAGCTACATCCCTGCCGGCTATTCCCTCCTCTACCCTGGATGACGCTGGGCCAATTGTGCGCCGCCCCATGGGTCTCCCAGTCGCGGCCAGCTACGACAGAGCCTGGATTCGAACCAGGATCTCTAGTGGCACAGCTAGCACTGCGATGCAGTGCCTTAGACCACTGCACCACTCGGGAGATGCATACCTGAGACCCGTGACAATGATATCAGAACCGACCCAAACAATGACATTATTTAGAATTCTGGATCCGGATCGGGTCTAGAGTGTTCGAGTACAGGTGGATCCGTGAAGACCTCTACACTCAACTACTTTTCTGGGGTCAAAGGCCATTCATACAGATTAGGCACTCACACAGGTATAGAAAAACAGCACATCAAGTAACAACTGCTAAACAAGTGGTTGGACTGATTAGGATAAGCATTTGAACTGGACCTCTATACAAATTGCTCTGTCCAGATTATAATACAAATGGATAGTACAAGGGGTTAGGTCATGGGCCAACAGTTATTTATGGGACTTCAAGTCTAGCATCCCACATCTGTGCTTTTCATCTAAAAACAAAAGAAGATTAGGTCTACAACAGCATCCTACCATCAACAACACTCAATGATGATTATTGCCAAATACTATTGATAACATTTTACATTTACATTTTAGTCATTTAGCAGACACTCTTATCAATTATAAAAATGGCCAAATCTTACCATTCCATTTCCTGATGAGCCAACTCAAGTGTCTTCCTTGAGTAAAGGATTTCTGCTGAGGCCTTTCAACTCTATTTACATTATTAGTGCAGTCTCTGGTGAAATCAACATGACATGGTTTCTGATGAAGAGGTCTCATCCTTGCAAACAAATATCAACCATCTACAATGTGCAGCGGGGGTGTCACGAATTCAGCCGAGGCTGCCCCCCCCTCCTTGTTCGGGCAGGTTTCGGCGTTGGTCGTCCCCGGCTTACTAGCCACTACCGCTCCATTTATCATCACTCCATTTGTCTTGTCTTGTCTTGTCAATCACACACACCTGGTACTCATTCCCTCATTAGTCTGTGTATAAGTGTTCCCTCTGCCCCCTTGTCCTTTGTGAGTAATTGTTCATTGTGAGAGTGAGTAGCTCGGTAGCTGTATGTAGCCAAGGTGGATTTTTCCCTTGTGCTAGTTTCGTTTTGACGCTTGCTGCGCTTTATTCATGTACACTGAATAAACTCTGGATTTCGGTGTTTTACCTCCTGTGCCTGACTCCGTCATTCACACCTCATCACAGGGTTGGTTTCAGAAAAGGAAAAAGAGTCGAGACGCACTCCGAAACAACCAACTCTTCTACAATTTCCTCTTTGATCAAACCTTATTTCTGAGCTTACGCCTTACATAAATGTTTCGATTTTAGCTGGAGTTGCACTTCAAACTGTCTAAACTCAATCTCTCACTCTAGCTAGCATGTTGGCGGTGAAAATGGCAGCAACAGGTGTGAGAATTAAAGAGCAATCTCTCATACACACAAACACACACATTGTACCACACACCTGAGATCTGGCGTTGAGTTGAGTGGGCAGATAGGGCAGCAACTGTGGGATATTCTGGAACACCTTCACCATCAGCTCCTTACTGGACACAAGCACAATCATTATCCAAGGGCATGTTGCTTTGTGTTTGTGTGTCTGTCTGTGTGTGTGTGTCATTATACCTGTCTGGTAGATGATGTCCCTGAATGATGAGGGCCACAGAGGAGCTGAGCTCAGGGTTCACAGCTACAGAGCACCTGAGCTGAGAGTCAGTCAGTCTTCCCCAGGCCTCCACCTACACACACACACACACAAGTGTCAGTCTACCTTACCAGTACGTCTGTTAGCAAAGCATTGTATGTACGTGTGTGTGTATCAGCCAGCCTACCTGTAGAATAGGGCTGGTCTGTCCCTGTAAGCTGTGCTGTATTGTGGCTCTGGCCTCCCTGGACCCTCCATAGGTTCCCCAGCCCCTCACGTCCCCAACAACACGCACCCGTCTCCCCTTACAGTGCAGGTCCACTGACACACTTCTCATGGGCCCTATGGAAGGGATTGAGTTAGGGCACAGAGAGTTAAGGCACTAAGGAGAAGTAAGCTAGTGGAGAAGAGGTATAACTGTGTACATACTGAACTTCAAGGAGATTCCAGACATGTCACAGTTTGGTTACGACAGAACGTTACATAGGACATTTTTGACCGATGGCGAAAAGTACAAATAGGTCCCCTTTCTGTCATTTCATGACGTTAGCTGGGTTAGTGTGCTAACCTGTGAATTGGGCGGTCATGGCTGTGTCCAGACTATATGGCAAGTATGTACGTAGTGATGAGGGAGGGGTCAGAGAGAGCAGCATGGCCAGACGTCCATCGGCTACGCTGACGTTCAGGCCAGACACCAGCAGCATGTGTCCGTCCATGGAGAGGTGAGCCCTGGACCGCAGCTGAGACATCACCCCATGTATGGAGCATAGGGCCTGGGAGAGGGAGGAGAGGAAAAGGACAGAGGGAGGCAGGGGGGGAGGGGCTTGATTAGACCAAGGATAGATCATTAGACCAAGGATCCTTGTCTTCTTTCCTTAATCTGTACTGTGATTTCAGGGGCAAGTTTCCCAAAAACAAATAAATCATTAAACATGAAGTTCATTGTTTGTTTTTGGAACACTCACCCCTAATCAGTAAAATTGAAGATAATTGAAATGTACTGCAGGAATACCCACACAGCCAAATACACTCAAATCACTGAAGATATCATAAAAGATATTCAGAATGGGCACAAGTATTTACCTCCATCGTCTGTGGAAACCATCTCTCTTGAAGCCAAAGGCAACTGTGCCACAGGTTGCCTCTCAGTTCAGTAGCCAATGGACTGTCCTTCAGCTGAAGCCCCAGTCTTGCTAGCTGAGCTCCAAACTGGGACTGAATGGTCAGGTTCCTCACCTCCCCAGAACCAAGCTCTAGCTGGAGGCACAGCAAAGGCACCATACTGAATACTTATCTAATAAGATACAGTAGAAAAACAGATAAATATATAAGCCAAGGCATCTAAACCTCTAAACCCATTTTTACATGACCATGCCAACCTGAACCGTACTGTGCTGGCTTGGATATAGTTTTTTCACATTGTTCTTTCCAGCCTGGTTCCAGCAACTATGGTCAACCCAGTACAGCTCGGCTCAGGTTGGTTTGGCTTGGCTCAGTAGTGTGACGTCTCTAACCTGGATACTGTTGTTCTCTGGCAGTCCCCAGTTCTTCAGAAATGCCATAGTGTGATTGACAACGCTCTTCACCCTCACCATCCCTTGACTCCTCTCGACTGTCATCTCCTCTATTAACTAAAAATATAAGTGCTTACCATAAAGACACACATATACACATACTGTATTTCCCATTTCCCATTTCTCATTCCAAAGACACATGAAATTGGGTAAAATGAATATGGTAGATAATCATCATATTGCATCCTCTATTAAATTCATTATGAGTATAAAGAAGGAAACATCTTAGGGTGCATATCAATAGTCTAAAATTGCTTTTTTGCATTCTTTCCCTCATGTACACTGGTATAAAAAATTATAATAATGTGTTTACAGACCAGTGCAGATGAAGGAGAGGAGTCAAGGAAAGCGACTTTAGAATATTGGGATGCACCCCGCCCACCCCTAGTATACAACAGGGCAGTTTTCTCCATAGAGATACAATATCATACTTAGGGCCCTGTGTTTTGCGCAATTCTTTGGCATGCCTGGATTTTAACCTTTATTTAACACTTTTTCATCAAACTGTTCCCTTTTCTTGTTATTTCAGATGGTCCAGCACCATCCTCAGACAATTGCTATCATTTTTTGATAAATTCTCATTTCTGGATAAGGCTTAAAATACAGGATAAAATCTTGATATGTCACATGATTGCGCAAAACACAGGGCCCTAAATAAGTGTTCTATTTAATTATGTGGTTTCCTCTCTAAACAGCTGTTGTTAATCAGGTTACCTGTTGGCTACCCACGATGCAATGGAGGAGCCAGTGGTAGGAGCTGTTGCCATGGCTCTCTGAGCGCATCGCCATAGCAGAATTGGCGGGGAGGCCCACCCTTTGTAGCAGGGGCACAGAGTGGTTGAGATGGCCTGATGCTTCCTGCCAACCCTGGCAGACACAAACAGAAGTAGACACAGTACTTGAAATGTATTCATTCATTCATCTCTATGTTTATCAGTCAATGATAAAGAGGAATGAATAAAAAATGAAATAATAAATGAGGAAGAGGCCGTTTGGAACACTGAAATACTGAAATGTTTGTAAATTTGAAATGTACAGAAACAACAGTAGCCTACCTTTGTTGTTTTCAGTGCCATCAAAGCCTGTAGGTTATTTTCATCCATCGCCATGGAGACATGGGTATCTAGAAATGTCTGGGTGATGACCAAGGACCAAGAACCTTCCATCTTAACTGGACTACCCCATTCCTATAAAATATTGGGTATATAACATTATAGACCGACAAATCAAACTTGATGGAAAATGGATGACGAGATAGTAGTTATTAACATAGCAGTGTAGGATTAAGTTGCCCCTAAGAGCTGATCTAAGTTTAGTTTCGCACTTTTCACCCAAATAGTTCAGGTTACGACATAGGGAACGGAAGCTGATCCTACAACCGTGCTTAGGGGCAACCTGTACCCAGTACGAGACAGTGGCAAAGCTGTTGGTAGTGGAATATAATTTAATACTTTAATCAGAACGTGCTGGTACCTGTAATGCAGTGCAGTTGTTGTGGTACACCACTGCCCCCTTCAGGCGGTCCCCTGTCATCACCGTCGCCGAGCCTCTCACGGCACATTCACCCAGCTGTAGCTCCGCCTCTGTATCGTAGCCCTGTGAGTCTGCCCTACCACTACCGGTCACCACTATCCTACTCTGGCCCGGTAACCCCCCAAGGGCTGTGAGGTTGTGGTTGAGGTGTCCCTCTAGCCTCAGCCCAGGCTTGGCCCTTGCAGTCAGCCTCAGGAAACCCCTCTGTTGTCCCTCCACACTGGCATCCAAAATGGCCATCCAGACATTGTGGTCATATGTTCCCACGGAGCCGTTCAGGTGGACCTGGGAGGGAAGGCCGAGGCCCTGGGGAAAAGGTGGATGGGAGTGTGATTTTGTGACTTGACTGCATGGCTTTCTTCGGCCTTGGATATTCAGTAAGAGTGACTTACTTGCTGTCCCTGATCTGTATGTAGGAGTTGGCTGTGCAGCACAAACAGATCTGGGACCAAGCTAACTAGATTAAGCTACATACAGTAAGTTGGATATGAAGACCACAAACTTTCCACATTACGGTTTCACTGTTGAAATCATAGGCATGCAATGAGGATAACCTCTGTATAACGTGTTGTATTTCAATAAAACAGAGGATAGCCTACCTGTAGCAACGGACAATCTGACTCCGTAGCCCACAACCACTGTGTCCTTCCATTAAGCCCCATGTCTCCATTAGCTCTGATATAACACAAGCCAGCTTTAATAAACAGGGCCCCAGTCTGTCCAGGGCCCTCAGGGGCCGAAGCCTCTATGCTGGTCGTCAGGGGGAGGCCCCTGGTCCGGAGCCCAGGGAAGGAGTGTGTCAGGGATCCAGAGAAGCGTGCTGCCGGACTGCAGGACTGGCCTAGCTCCAGGGTAAGATCATGGTTGTCCATCTTTAGAGTACAGTGAAGGGCCAGCTGGCAAGGGACCAATGAGAGGAGGCCCTGGAAGGCCAGGGATGCAGGGAGTCCTGTGCTCTGTGGAGATATGTACATAAATGGGCACGCGTGGCTCAAAAATGAAGAAAAAAAACAACAGCTATTCTTCAATCTCAAACCCTTCTAATTTAGTACAACTTTCAATTATTCTAACAAACGTAAGTTTTACAACACCAAACCTTTCTTCTATCCATCCTCTCAACTCAAACCCTCTCCCTTCACTTTCACTCCCCCTTTCCCCTCTCTCTCTCTTCTCTCCTCCTCTCCCTCTCTCTGTCCCTCGACGGTCAACAAAGCGGAGGCCTCTGTCCAGCTGCATCCACAAAGCTCTGCCAATCACACACACACACACACACACACACACACACACACACACACACACACACACACACACACACACACACACACACACACACACACACACACACACACACACACACACACACAGCTCTCAATTAGAGACAAGTAGCTCCCGCTGCTAGTACAAACACCACGGGGCACTGATCCAGACAGAATACATATGGTCTCACAAACCATCCTATGGGCTACGTCCCAAATTACACCCTATTCCCTATTTAGTACACTATTTTAAAAAACCAGTATTCCCTATATAGTGCAAAACTTTTGACCAGAGCCCATGAATAGGGTGCCATTTGGGACCCACCCTTGGTGTTCTATCACAGCAACACCCAGTTAAAAGTTAAAAATGAGCCCCCAGGTTTGCCTTTGATGAAGACTCCTTCTGAAGTTCTTCAAAGGACATGGGTGTGTTGATAATATATGTGCACCCCCCTATTATCATCAAAGCCATCTCTTTTTAAAATATTTTTATTTATTCATTTTTATTTTTTGGGGGGTAGATCAGCTTTAATATTGCAGATAGATTGTAACTTCCATCAATGTTTTTTTCTCTCGCAAATATATATATATACACACACGTATACATACATATACACATACATACATATAAATACATATACATACATGTCCTTTAAAAAAATATATTTCCCTTTATTACTTTCCAACCCCATGACCCCTTCCCTAATTGGAGTAAACTAGTGAACAACAACGCTTAGGCCTCTACTTCCAGCTTATACATACTATATACATTTTATGGACACAGTCAATTTTACAAAATTATATTTTGTTTGATTTTACTCCTGAACTTCCTCTACCCTCAACCTCTCTGATCATTTTCATGATGTCCATCCAGTTTGCTTCTATATGCCATATCTTTCTAACTGTGCTCTTTCACAAAAGCTCTCAACCTATAACCTATATACTTATTATGGACACAGTATGCTTTACATTAGTTATCGTGTTGTTATTAGTTGTTGTTAGTTGTTATTAGTCCCATCCTTCAGCTCCATTCAACACCTCCCATCTATCGCTTAACACCATCCATATTGGATTTCTATTTGCCATATATTTTTCAACTGTACTGTGATGTTTCACAAAAGTCTGAACCCTTCTATTCTCATTGTTTCTACAGATTGTAAATTGAAAATAAACATTTTTGCTATAAGTATTATTATATTATTGATCGACTGACTATGACTTTTCAGATCACCCAGTAATGCTATCTGCAGGGTTAGCTCCAGGTAAATATTGCAATCCTTCAGCCATTCCTGGACCTGTGTCCAAAAACAAGCTACAAATGGACAGTACCAAAACAAATGATCTAATGATTCTGTATCTTCGCAGCAAAATCTGCAGAGCTGGGAAGGTTGTATCCCCCATATAAATAACATTCTATTGGTAGCAAGAATTTTGTATAATAATGTAAATTGAAAAATTCTACATTTTGAATCCGGCGTCATTTTGCGTATCAGTTCATAAACACTATGCCATGGAATTGGTACGTCAAAAATATCTTCCCAACTATTTTGCAATCTATATGGCACAGCTGGCAATCCTTTGGTCCTTAAATGAAACTGGTATACTTTTTTATTTATCACTATTTTCCTTTAACCAATTATGTTCTTTAATGCAGGGCCGACAGACAAGTTACTTACTTTATCCCCCTTCCACTTTCCTCTTCCATTTTTGCGGTAATGCTGCAATTATTTGTTTTTTTGGGTAGAGCAGACATTTCCATATGTTTTTATTGGCTGCATGTGCGACATAACTCCACCAGTCCTACCGATGATATCATTTATAAAGATTATTCATTTTATAAAAACATTTTTCAATTAGTACATTTGAGTTTAACCACAATATTTGTTGCATTATTTGTTCTGTCGTTTCTGGAGGATTCAATTGAAATTGCAACCAACTTTCTATGGCTTGTTTTAGAAATAGTGATATTTGGGAGATTATTTCCTTTTCAAATAACTGAAAGTGAGGGGTTGTAATCTGAATAAAGGGAAAAAGGCCATTCTTGAACATGGGGTGAGACAATCTTACTAATTTGCTAGAGAACCAGTTCAGATTTAAGTATAACTTTTGTATGACTGAAGCTTTTAGTGATAGGTCTAATGCTTTAATATTTAATCATTTCTGTCCTCCGAATTCATATTCATTATATAAATAGGCCCATTTAATTTTGTCTGGCTGGCTTGCCGTTCCAAATAAAATTGGATTTTTCAATTAATTAAAAAAACTGTTCGCTAGGCGTAGGCAAGACCATTAGCAAATAGGTAAACTGGGACAAAACCATCTCTTAGCTGGTGTTCCAGCTAGCAAAATCAAAGTGGTCATAACTCAGATGTGAGGCTGTACCGTAATGGTGATTAATAGCCTAGTCAATGTTATTGTAGGTGGTGGTTATAACCGTAATATTTGTAGTAGACAGAAAATACTTTGTTGATGCAGCAGGGTTGGGTTCAATTCCAGTCTATTCCAGAAGTGCACTGAAATTCCAATTCCAATTCTCTTCAATGCTTTTCAATTGGGAAAATGTGGAATTGGAATTTAGTTTACTTTCTGAATTGACTGGAATTTAAATGGAATTTAACCCCAACTCTGCGGCAGGTAGCCTAGTGGTTAAGAACGTTGGGCCAGTAACCGAATGGTCGCTGGTTCAAATTCCAGAGCCGGCAAAGTGGAAGAAATCTGTTGTTCTGTCCTTGAGCAATGCAGTTAACACCCAATATCAACTGCTTCCGGCAGGCGCTGATGATGTCGATTAAGGAAGCCCCCTGCACCTCTCTGATTTAGAGGGGTTGGGTCAAATGCGGAAGACACATTTTGGTTGAATGCATTCAGTTGTGCAACTGACTAGGTATCCCCTTTCCCCAAAAGCTGGCCAAAGCAGAAACATACAGGCACTCACACTGGAACGTAGCCCAGCACTAACACATCAGATTCCACTGATTGGTAATCAGAATCATATTTGTTCGTACTCTCCCGGTCAGCGTGTTCTTTACCTGTAGTTCTGGGCAATAGTGGGTCACATTGACGGCCCAGTTAGCCTTATTCTCCCCAGAATCGGCCCTGAGCCGGCACTGCCCCAGCTCCAGCTCCACCCCTACCCCAGGGCGTTCCCCAGTCGAGACACCCAGGACTAGGGCACTGCGAGGGGGGATGCCCAGGGCACGGAGCCCCGTCAGGGAGTGACGGATGGAGCTCCTGAGGCTGAGCTGGGGGAGGCAGGAGGATAAGGCCAGGCTGGCAGCCCCCCTTCTCCTCTCCCCCGGTGTGGAGGTTTGTGTCCAGACGCGTGGTACAGCCGGAGCGGACCAAGGAGCCATTCACTGAGAAGTACGGAGGGAGGAGAGTCTGTGGAGGAGAAACTAATAGTCAGCAAAAAATGTAGCCGATAGTCAAATTTGCAATAGGCTGTCTTATTTTGTGTGTTTTTGTGCTGAAATCAAATATTTATAAAAGATACAGATGAACTGACACAACATAAACAACATCACACATCTATTGACGTGGGATCTAAATGTGAGACAGCATTACCGTATGTGTCAGCGATATGCCATGCTGTAAAGGAAAGTGGAGGCTCATCTTTCTGGTGAAGATGACTCACTTCCTGCTTTCTGTCGCTGGGAAACATGGTTGAGGTCACTTAAAAATGGCTTTATAAAATCAATTTGATTGATTTCCTGTTCCCGCCATGTTTCCACTGCTCTACTCATAGAAATAGAATTACGTTGACTAGAATGGGCATGCCCATTCTAGTAATTATATTTCTGTCTCTACCTTAAGTAGGTTACAGCATTGACGGACAACCAGGGTCCATGTCCTTCTGTGTTCCCCTCTATGTAGACTAGTCCCGTGGGTCAACATGGAACACGTGTCACTCTCCAGCTCCACCTGTGCCTGAGTGGGCCCCGCAAACACGCTCAGGGTGGCGTCCTCTGGTATCCCAGCATGCTTTAGGGTGGCAAGGTCATGTTGGAAAATGGCCCTGAGGACAGCGTTTGGGGCGTGGCCGAGGGGCTCCCAGGTCGCCGTGACGTCCAGGTTGGCCGAGTGGGCGTCCAAGGAGACGCGGGCGTTCCCGGAGAGGGAGGCACGTCGGACCTGGGCTGACCCGTGCAGGTCAACCCTTTCTGGGATGGAGGAGGTGGAGAGAGAGGCCCATTGGTGGTGGAGGGTCCAGCCCAGCTCAGCTCGGCTTTCCCTCAGTAGCAAGGATAACAGGCAGTGGAGAGAATCCTGGTTGTTTTCAAGACCCACAGTGCCCCTGAGGCCGTCTTTCACAGCGCTTCCTATTATGGTCAGAGAGGTCCTGCTTGGTGCTAGTGCCCCTTCCCCTTCAGTGATCCGCACCCAGGCCACCCGCACCCCTCCCCCACACCGCGTCGACACCACCAGGCTGGATCTGACTGAGTCCCACACCCCGCTCACTTCCACCCAGAGGTGACACCACCGCTCTGCCCTAACGCGACCTCTAACCTCGGCCTTGTGTGTGACATGAGGAGTCCCATACTCAACCAGGCTATGCCATGCATAGAGCCCTGCCGCCTCCTGCCTCAGCCCCCCACTAACCTGCACCCTCCAGGGGCCAACCGCCAACCCGAACCTCAGGCCCCATCGCTTAGGCCCAGGCCGGAGCAGAAGCCTGAGGCTAGAGCGGGAGGGCAGCCCCAGGGAGAGCTGCAGTAGCCGGGAGGAGTGGGTGAGGTTAGCCATGAGCTCAGCCTGGCCCGTGGGGCTGTAGCAGCCTTTGGCCTGTGCGGTGATGCTAGGGTAGGCTAACGCTAGGCCGTAGCAGAGCCTGCTGCTGTGTGGTCTCTTGGAGCGAAAGGCGCGTACCTCCACGGGTCGACCGGCGATGCTTCCGGAGCAATGGGCCGAGTAGGCGGTCATTAGCGGCACCATTGGTGGCGTACCCCGTGCAGCTCATCTGTGAAAACAGAGACCCCCGTCGACACAGTTTGTTTATTAAAGGGAGAGCAGTGGGAGAAGATGGAGGAATTTAACACAGACAGTATGGCACATGAGTTGGAGCGCACGGTTCCTATACTTCTTTGGAGTGAAAACAACTATAATATCAGACACTATAGAACTAGTATCAATTGAGCAAATGCATTTGCCTATTTAAAATCAAATTTGCATGGCTTATAAAAGTGCCTACTTCACTGCTGTAGAAACGCTGTTGGTATGGTACTGAGAGATTATACAAATGGAATACAAGTATTGTGATATTTGAATCTGTTGCACTGTTGTAAATGTGTTTTTGAGTGAGTTTTCAATGTACAAATGTGTTGGTCACCTGTAATGATGTAGGTATCACTCCTTTGAGTTGCCTCAGGTTGTGCAATAGAGACACGTTCAGGTTGGCAGTGTTGTTCCCCTTGCCAGCTTCCACTACGATGTCCACCTTCTTCTGTTCTTCAACTTGAATGGCCAACCCTGCACTCACACCCTCTGTCTCCTCCTACAGTCAGAAGTAATACAAATACTTTTGGACATTAAATATTAAACTGAAAATACTGTAATACATAGAAGTAAATACTGAATTATGAATGTGATGTCTTTCATGGCTTGAAACCTGAAAATCAAATGAATTTATCTTCTTAAAATTATAAAAGCCTTGGCTTGAAGATTCTTTGATGCATCTTCTTCGATAGCTTGATAAGTTATCTCCAGGAATATGTCCAAAGTCAAATTCAATGCAGCTTTCTTAACAACAATAGAGTAGAGAGAAAGAAGAGGAAGGATGAGGAAGAAGAGGATGAAGCTGCACCTGATAGTGCCCTGTAGCCTGGATGGAGCTGGGCATGCCTCTTTGGACCAGGGCCTTGCTTTGGTGCTGTACCCTGGTTTGGAGCTCCCATCGTGGGGAGGCACGGCCAGTCCTGGCACTCTCAAACTCAGCCTTCAGGCCCTGAGCCCCGGCCTGTAGTTCTGCCAGCACTGAGAGCCTGCCCTCCTCCTGGGTCCAGCTCACCTGGGCACTGCTGTTACCTGGTATACCTAAAACATTGGTGACAGACAATGGTGCACAATTTATGTGAGCGGATTTTTGTCATTTACCAAGACTTGAAAGGGCATGTAAGACTTGATAAACAGGGTACGTGATACATTCATTGTGTATGGCTATGTCTTTTTACAACAGATTACGGTTTCATATTATCATATTAATTGAGGATATCTAAGGAGACAGAAAGTGTGGAAGTGAAAGGACCATAGAAGGAGGACATCTGAGGAGAGGGACTGGGGGAGTAGAGATTCAAAGTAACAACAATATGTGACAGATGGAGGGGGTCACCTGCAGTATGGAGCCAGGGGGAGGAGTGAGAGAGCTGGGCATTGACTCCACCCCTCCCCTGAATGCCCAATCGGCGGCTCACATTCACACACAGAGACTCCTCCCCTGCCCGAGCGCACAACCAATCACGGGCCCCGTCAGGCTCTTTTCCCAGCATGCCATCCTCTTCGTCCCAGGTGTCTCCTTGGTCCTGTTGATGACTCAGCTCCACACTGTACACAGCCTTACTCACTGTCACTCTCAGCTGCCCTGCAACACACACATACACTTCATAGCACTGAATAATACATTTGTGTGTGTGTCTGTGTGTGTGTGACATACAGTGCATTCGGAAAGTATTCAGACCCCTTGACTTTTTCCACATTTTGTTACATTACAGCCTTATTCTAAAATATATTAAATAGTTTGGTAAATGTATAAAAAACGGAAATATCAGATTTACATAAGTATTCAGACCCTTTGCTCAGTGCTTTGTTGAAGCACCTTTGGAGTTTCTCCCATTCTTCTCTGCAGATCCTCTCAAGCTCTGTCAGGTTGGATGGGGAGCGTCGCTGCACAGCTATTTTCAGGTCTCTCCAGAGATGTTTAGGAAGAGTCTTGGTGGTTCCAAACTTCTTCCATTACAGAATGATGGAGGCCACTGTGTTCTTGGGAAACTTCAATGCTGCAGAGGTTTTTTGGTACCCTTCCCCAGATATGTGCCTCTTGGAGCTCGGATAATTCCTTCGATCTCATGGCTTGGTTTTTGCTCTGACATGCACTGTCAACTGTGGGACCTTATATAGACAGGTGTGTGCCTTTCCAAATCATGTCCAATCAATTGAATTTACCACAGGTGGACTTCAATCAAGTTGTAGAAACATCTCAAGGATGATCAATGGAAACAGGATGCACCTGAGCTCAATTTCGAGTCTCATAGCAAAGGGTCTGAATACTTATGTAAATAAGGTATTTCTGTTTTTTATTTCTAATACATTTGCAAACATTTCTGAAAACCTGTTTTGGCTTTGTCATTATGGGGTATAGTGTTTCAATTGATGAGGGAAAAAATGAATTTAATCAATTTTAGAATAAGGCTGTAATGTAACAAAATGTGGAAAAAGTAATGGGGTCTGAATACTTTCCGAATGCACTGTACACATGTTTCACCATTTATACAGCACTAACATGGAAAATACACTAACCTGGGTTCGCCTTGGCACTTCGAGACAAGACCAATCAATCACTTCTTATGTCTAATAGAGCCATACCTTCAGTGAGCCAGTCTGACTGCCCCAGGGCTCCTTCCAGACTCAGGGCAGGAGGCAGAGCAGTGAGGCTGGGTAAGGAGTGCCTCAGGTCCCCTGTGACAGCCATCCGTAGCCCCGGGGAACCAGGGGAGTGCTCCAGTGAGCCGGCCACCTGGGCCTGCAGGACCTCTCCTCCCTGGTCATAGGAACCATGCATGGAGAGTCTGGAAGGAGACAGACAGGGAGAGATGAGAAGGTATGGAGGTACTTTGAACAGTTACAATTAGGATACAGAGTGAGAACGCATGTGGAGGGACACAGAGCAAAACTGTGGCTAAGACAGACAGACAGACAGACCTGTCCTAAGTCCACACTGTATGTAGCTACTTGATAGACTAGTGAGAATGCACTTACCTATCCGAGGAGATGTTGGCAGACATGTTGAGGTGCAGCGCAGTGGCTGTAGTAGGTAGTAGACTCTGGAGCAGGTCCATACGTAGACCCAGGGCTCTGGTGTCTCTCTGTAGGGAGTGGGAGAGCTGGGCCTCCAGCAGAGCTCTGTCCTTCCCATCAGCCCTCACACACAGAGAGCTGCTCACGCTGCCATCCACCATAGACGTGTCTGCAGTGAGCTGAGCCTGGAGAATACAAACATAAAGGGACAAATACCCATTTAAAAGAAACCAAGAGACACGCTGACCAAAAACAGAAAAGCTATATCTTTTTTATTTATACTGTATACTTAATCAATTAAGAGATTCAATTGTCAACCTTTGAAAAAGCACATTAGCGACCCACCTCCAATGTTTTAAGGATCTTGGATTTGAAGGGATGACTGAGCGAGGAATACAGCCCAACTTTGTCTGATGAGCCATTCAGATGAACAGAAAACTGATGGAGAAAAAACACACATTATGTTACTGATTGATAAGTGCTGTAATCATAAATAAGCAATATTTTTTATTTAAGTAGTGAATGAATAGTTACTCTTACCTGACACTCCTGCCGGTTGATCCCTACTTTCCCTCTCACTAGGTAATCAAACACACTGTTATTTTTAGGATTCCAGGACACGTCTCCTTCCAGTATGGCCGACGAAGGGAGCTTCAACTGAAAAAGCAGAAAGTCATGGGTCCATCACAATAGTCTAAAGTGGCTTGCTCTCCTCGTCTCCCTTCCTTGGACAGGTGAAAGCCAATTCCCAGTGGACATCCATCATCTTACTATACTACTTGAGTAAAAGTCTAAAAGTATTTGGTTTTAAATATACGTAAGTATCAAAAGTAAATGGAATTGCTAAAATGTACTTAAGTATCAAAAGTAAAAGTACAAGTATAAACCATTTCAAATTCCTTATATTAAGCAAACCAGACGGCACAATTTCCTTCTTTTTTTTATTGGCGGATAGCCAGGGGCACACTCCAACAGTCAGACATAATTTACAAACGAAGCATGTGTGTTTAGTGAGTCTGCCAGATCAGAGGCAGTAGGGATGACCAGGGATGTTCTCTTGATAAGTGTGTGAATTGGACCATTTTCCTGTCAAAATGTAATGAGTACTTTTGGGTGTCAGGGAAAATGTATGGAGTAAAAAGTACATTATTTTCTTTAGGAATGTAGTGAAGTAAAAGTAAAAGTTGGCAAAAATAAATAGTAAAGTAAAGTACAGATACCCCAAAAAACTACTTAATAATATAATAATAATATGCCATTTAGCAGACGCTTTTATCCAAAGCGACTTACAGTCATGTGTGCATACATTTTACGTATGGGTGGTCCCAGGGATCGAACCCACTACCCTGGCGTTACAAGTGCCATGCTCTAACAATTGAGCTACAGAGGACCACTTTAAAATATTTTAAAATATTTATACTTAAGTACTTTACACCACTGCATTTTTATCATATCACTGCACAAGTGACGAGATGAAGAAGTCTTTTCACACTATTGGGATGAAACACCACACTTCCTTTAAGGTAATGTCAACACAAACAGTGCCTTCGGAAAGTATTCAGACCCCTTCCCTTTTTCCACATTTTGTTACGTTACAGCCTTATTCTAAAATGGATTAAAATATTTTTTTCCCTCATCAATCTACACACAATACCCCGTAATGACAAAGCGAAAATAAAATACAGAAATACCTTAAGTATTCAGACCCTTTGCTATTTGACTCGAAATTGAGCTCAGGTGCATCCTGTTTCCATTGATCATCCTTGAGATGTTTGTACAACTTAATTGGAGTCCACCTGTGGTAAATTCAATTGATTGGACATGATTTAGAAAGGCACACACCTGTCTATATAAGGTCCCACAGTTGACAGTGCATGTCAGAGCAAAAACCAAGCTATGAGGTCGAAGGAATTGTCCGTAGAGCTCCGAGACAGGATTGTGTCGAGGCACAGATCTGGGGAATGGTACCAAAAAATGTCTGCAGCATTGAAGGTCCCCAAGAACACAGTGGCCTCCATCATTCTTAAATGGAAGAAGTTTGGAACCACCAAGACTCTTCCTAGAGCTGGCCGCCCGCCCAAACTGAGCAACCGGGGGAGAATGGCCTTGGTCAGGGAGGTCACCAAGAACCCGATGGTCACTCTGACAGAGCTCCAGAGTTCCTCTGTTGAGATGGGAGAACCTTCCAGAAGGACAACCATCTCTGCAGCACTCCACCAATCAGGCCTTTATGGTAGAGTGTCTAGACGGAAGCTACTCCTCAGTAAAAGGCACATGACAGCCCGCTTGGAGTTTGCCAAAAGGCACCTAAAGGACTCTCAGACCATGAGAAACAAGATTCTCTGGTCTGATGAAACCAAGATTGAACACTTTGGCCTAAATGCCAAGCGTCACGTCTGGAGAAAACCTGGCACCTTCCCTGCAGTGAAGCATGGTGGTAGCAGAATCATGCTGTTGGGATGTTTTTCAGCAGCAGGGACTGAGAGACTAGTCAGGATCGAGGGAAAGATGAATGGAGCAAAGTACAGAGAGATCCTTGATGAAAACCTGCTCCAGAGCGCTCAGGACCTCAGACTGGGGCGAAGGTTCTCCTTCCAACAGGACAACGACCCTAAGCACACAGCAAGGGTTTTGCCACCAAGTATTAAGTCATGTTTTGCAGAGGGGTCAAATACTTATTTCCTTCATTAAAATGAAAATCAATTTATAACATTTTTGACATGCATTTTCTGCATTTTTTTGTTGTTATTCTGTCTCTCACTGTTCAAATAAACCTACCATTAAAATTATAGACTGATCATTTCTTTGTCAGTGGGCAAACGTACAAAATCAGCAGGGGATCAAATACTTTTTTCCCTCACTGTATGTATAAGCTGGAAGTAAAAGCCTAAGTATTGTTGTCCATTAGTTTACTCCAATTAGGGGAGGGTTGGTAGGGTTATATTTTTTAAATATTTTCTTTACAAAAAAATATATGGGGGATTGGAAATGATGCAGACAATTACATTGATAGAAACCACAATCTATCTGGAATATTAAAGCTGATCTACCCCCTACAAAAAAAAGGGTGTGACATAGCCTATTGAAATCAAGTTGTTGTTTTGTTTTGTTTATAATTTGATTCGAATTATTAATTCTCTTTTTAGGGCTTATCAATAATTACTTTAATCTTGTTTATTGCCCATGTTTGGCATGTCCATGCTCAGCCATAATGCAATTTATAGTAGGCCTAGCCCCTATATCAGTGTGAATGCTATTGAAGCCATGCAATTACTTAGAACAATATGGTGCGCAAATGGGTTCAAGTTAACTTATTATGAAAGATAGGTCTACATTTTGTTATTTCGTTTCTGTAAGCCATTTAACAAACTATAACAGACTAATATTGGAATTGATTCCAAGGCAATACATAAAAGACCATAAATATACAACTTGAAGCAACTACATATTTCACAATGGAGCACGTTCTGATTGGCCAGTGAGGGGCCAGGCCTGGACACACCACACAACTTCTTTATTCATCAAAACCTAGCACTTTGGCGTCACGCCAGCATTATACTGTTTATATTATATAATGTCCCTCTTATAGAATCGGCCTTACCTGGAGTAGGTGGGTGAGGTTGGCTCGAACTTTGACCCTATGTTGCGGTGAATCTGAGGGCTTCAGCTGAATTTGTCCAAGGAACGTCAGTCTGTCCTTCATCCCGACCCGAACCCTCCCTCGCACCTCTCTCTGCGTCTGTAGAGAAATATGGCGGCCATAGGATTTTATAGAGAACTTCTACACCCACAGGATCTCTATGGGTATGGTAGGCATAAAATTGGACTCAAATACAGTGCTACCAACTCATTCTCCACATGTGCTCTGCTACAAGCCTGTTTTTTTTTCATTTTGTGGATTCATTTATTGAAGAAAAAAGTCTGCACACTTACATCAGACGGAAATTCAATTTAGTCATTTAATGTCCCATTGTTTTCATCAAAACAGACTGTATCAGAGCATTTGTGTTGATGTCTTGAAATGTGATGGATATCAATCACCCTACCTGGTTGCTGAACATTGTGACACACATTTCAGAGTCTGGAGGGATGACATCATAGCTGAACGGGTGGGTCAGGGAGGAACACACCTGCAGAAGATTCAAATAGAAGACAACATCACTGAGAAAGATTGACTAATGACTGTTGTTACAACCGTTCCTATAGCAAATCAGGGCTTGTATTCAAAGAGTGTCTCAGAGTAGGAGTGCTGATCCAGGATCTGTTTTGCTTTTTAGATCATAATGAATGAGGGTCGTTCTTGAATTACGGTGGCATTTTGCGTCCCTTGCCTTTGCAACCATGAAAGACACTTTAAAATAACAAATAGTTACACATCATACATGTTTTTGTTTGTATTGATCTGTTTATCAATGACAATAATTCAAGTTGGTTATACTGCAACACTTTATATTTATGTATTGTTTAAAGTAGTTAGGGTAAGCAAATTGGCTTGTCCCAGTAGTGATGTGTAGAGTTATAGTGACATGTTTTGCAGATTTAGAGATATCTACAGTCAGTCAGTCAATTATTGGCACCCTTGATAAAGATGAGCAAGAAAGACTGTATAAAATAAATAATACAAATACTAAGCTACATTGCTACATTGTAGGGGTCAAGATTATTGGCACCCCTGTTTTCAATACCTTTCAATATTTTGCATCCACTGGTCCTGGGGCCCTTGTTAAGGTCAACGGCATTATGAACTTTACCCAGTACCAGGACATGTTAGCCCAAGACCTGGTTGCCACTGTCAGGAGGCTGAAACTAAGCCGCAATTTAACTGACCACATAATCAACCTTTTGCAATGGCCATCTCAGTCGCCGGACTTGACCCCCATTGAAAACTTGTGGTTTGAATTAAAGACGGCAGACCTTAAACACAGACGAAGGATATCAAGGATCTGGAAAAATTCTGTATGGAGGAATGGTCTAAGATCCCTCCCAATGTGTTCTCCAATCTCATAAAACATCTTAGAAAATGTCTCAGTGCCATTATCCTCTCAAGTTCAGGTATTGAAAGATGTTGAAAACAGGGGTGCCAATCATTTTGACCCCTATCTTTAAAAATATATATATTACTTGGTAAGCAAAATCTCTTTGTCTGAGCAATTGTATTAGTATAAAATAATGTATCTATATATATATATTTTGGCATACAATATAGCTCAGTATTTGTATTATTTATTTTATACAGTCTTTTCTTCTCATCTTTATCATGGGTACCAATCATTTTGTACCTGATTGTATTTATTATTTTGAATGCTAGAACGTATTGTATAAATCAGTAAAAACAAAGAAGGCTAAAATACCTATTTTTTTACTAGTATAATGTCTGTCCCTCAGTTTTATGTCATCGGTGTTACCGCCTTGAAAATCACTCATTACAAGGACCTTAAGCATTCCCTCCAGTGGAAAACTGTTATCGGAAGAGGGGTCTATGTTAAATAAAATTATTAGCTAATCACACCCTTATAGTATGTCTTCAATTTGAGGATTACATTGATCATTTGGTGTGTCTAAATCCAAAGTGACACTTTCGTGTTACTCAATTTAAATGAAGGGAAATAACATTGTGAGCAAAATTATTATTCACATCACTTTAGTAAATCATTTTTAAAGGGTTAATGACCCTTGATTTGACCCATCTGTAGCCTCCGTTTAAGAAAATTCTCAATAACCTAACATTTCTCATTGGTGTTACCATCGTTGGTGTTACTACTCCTACTGAAGGCACAATGTTATCATAATGGTCAAAATTATTAAAAGTCATTAAGCTGCCATATTACTTAATTTAGAATGGGAAGATATACAGTGGGGAAAAAAGTATTTAGTCAGCCACAAATTGTGCAAGTTCTCCCACTTAAAAAGATGAGAGAGGCCTGTAATTTTCATCATAGGTACACGTCAACTATGACAGACAAAATGAGGAAAAAAAAATCCAGAAAATCACATTGTAGGATTTTTAATGAATTGATTTGCTAATTATGGTGGAAAATAAGTATTTGGTCATCTACAAACAAGCAAGATTTCTGGCTCTCACAGACCTGTAACTTCTTCTTTAAGAGGCTCCTCTGTTATCCACTCGTTACCTGTATTAATGGCACCTGTTTGAACTTGTTATCAGTATAAAAGACACCTGTCCACAACCTCAAACAGTCACACTCCAAACTCCACTATGGCCAAGACCAAAGAGCTGTCAAAGGACACCAGAAACATAATTGTAGACCTGCACCAGGCTGGGAAGACAGAATCTGCAATAGGTAAGCAGCTTGGTTTGAAGAAATCAACTGTGGGAGCAATTATTAGGAAATGGAAGACATACAAGACCACTGATAATCTCCCTCGATCTGGGGCTCCACACAAGATCTCACCCTGTGGGGTCAAAATGATCACAAGAACGGTGAGCAAAAATCCCAGAACCACACGGGGGGACCTAGTGAATGACCTGCAGAGAGCTGGGACCAAAGTAACAAAGCCTACCATCAGTAACACACTATGCCGCCAGGGACTCAAATCCTGCAGTACCAGACGTGTCCCCCTGCTTAAGCCAGTACATGTCCAGGCCCGTCTGAAGTTTGCTAGAGTACATTTGGATGATCCAGAAGAGGATTGGGAGAATGTCATATGGTCAGATGAAACCAAAATATAACTTTTTGGTAAAAACTCAACTCGTCATGTTTGGAAGACAAAGAATGCTGAGTTGCATCCAAAGAACACCATACCTACTGTGAAGCATGGGGGTGGAAACATCATGCTTTGGGGCTGTTTTTCTGCAAAGGGACCAGGACGACTGATCCGTGTAAAGGAAAGAATGAATGGGGCCATGTATCGTGAGATTTTGAGTGAAAACCTCCTTCCATCAGCAAGGGCATTGAAGATGAAACGTGGCTGGGTCTTTCAGCATGACAATGATCCCAAACACACCGCCCGGGCAACGAAGGAGTGGCTTCGTAAGAAGCATTTCAACGTCCTTGAGTGGCCTAGCCAGTCTCCAGATCTCAACCCCATTGAAAATCTTTGGAGGGAGTTGAAAGTCCGTGTTGCCCAGCGACAGCCCCAAAACATCACTGCTCTAGAGGAGATCTGCATGGAGGAATGGGCCAAAATACCAGCAACAGTGTGTGAAAACCTTGTGAAGACTTACAGAAAACGTTTGACCCGTGTCATTGCCAACAAAGGGTATATAACAAAGTATTGAGAAACTTTTGTTATTGACCAAATACTTATTTTCCACCATAATTTGCAAATAAATTCATTAAAAATCCTACAATGTGATTTTCTGGAAGAAAAAATTCTCATTTTGTCTGTCATAGTTGACGTGTACCTATGATGAAAATTACAGGCCTCTCTCATCTTTTTAACCCTCCCATGTCCTAGGGTCAAAATGACCCACCACTGTGTTGAACCAACTTTATTTAATTTTTATATTTTGGGGATCATTTGTGAGAAGGAGGCAGTGAGACTTTAAAGAAAGTATCACTGCCTCCTTCTCACAAATGATCCAAAAAAAATAAAAATAAAATAAAGTTGGTTCAACACAGTGGCGGGTCATTTTGACCCTAGGACAACGGGAGGGTTAAGTGGGAGAACTTGCACAATTGGTGGCTGACTAAATACTTTTTTTCCCCACTGTACCTAAATAAATTTAAATAAATACAAATTCAAGAACGACCCATATGATTATATTGACATGAGTAGGACCTGATCCTAGATCAGCACTCCTACTATGAGACCTTTGTGAATATGGGCCCAGAAACAAGAGTGGTCCTGGGCTCACAAAAGGGCTGGGTTGCTGGTATCCCAGGGTGAGAGTATGAATGATGTCTCTGTTGCTATAGAGATGGGCTTTCGACTCCAGGATGTAAAGGCCCTTGTGGAGGTCGACAGTGAAAGTCTCCTGGAGAAGGAAGCTCTGGAGGAAGTTCTGGAACGGCTGTCTGTAGGTGGGATGGGAGGGGCATTATAACTTTAGTTCTGTCAGGATTACAATTAAATGAACCATCATTCTTCATCCTCATCACCATTCTCATCATCATCATCAAGTTATATTCAATCACACTCAAAAAGAGCACCAGTAAGTGGATACATACCGAAGGAGTAGCAATGCTCTCTTCTGATAAATATGTTTGTCCTTCCTGAGCTCCTCCACTCCTCCCTCTAACTCCAACTCCATAGATGGGCTTTTGGGCTCTGATAAGATCATCTTCATCCTCACCATCCTCTTACTCAAATTCTGCAATGAGTCATACACCATGGTGATATGCTATGTTAGATATGCAAAAAACTGTAGCTTAAAAAAAGATCACCAAAAAATATGAATGGTTGATGACTGTCAATTCTTGTATGATGCTAGCTAGCGTACTCCCTGTGATATGGTGTTCATTTTAGAACACCCTCAGCCTCAAGTCTCAACCCTCCTTCAGTGGAGGCTGGTGGGAGGAGCTATAGGAGGACGGGCTCATTGTAATGGCTGGAATGGAATTAATGGAACGGAGTCAAACATGTGGTTTCCATATGTTTGATGTGTTACATAACTTTCTTTTGATTCCATTCTAGCCATTACAATGAGCCTGTCCTCCTATAACTCCGCCCACCAGCCTCCTCTGCCCTCCTTAATCATCAACCATAAATCGTCTAACAAATCGTTACCAAAAATATGAATGGTTGATGACTTCAACTCTTGCATGATGCTAGCTAGCATACTCGCTTACTGTCTGTACGGTGTACATTTTAGGACATCCTCATCCTCACACTTCATCCTTTCCACCTACCTTGTCCAGGGTAGTGAGTCCTGCGGTGAGGCTGAGGTTGTGTTTGCCGTAGCTGGAGGCCAGCTGCAGGGTCCTGCCCTGCTTGGTGTTCTCCAGGGAGAGGTCTCCCCTCAGGGCAGGGCTCCACACAGAGCTGAGGGTGCAGGAGGCCTTCAGACCCTGTTTAGCCACCATACCCCAGCCAACTGCCTGGAACACAACAGAACCAGCACATAATCGCTCTTAGGGTATGGGTTCTACATGGAACCTTTTTCAACAAAAACGGGTAAATACAGGTATGGTCCAAACTTGATGACTGTGTCTAGAGATGTAGCCAGTCCAGTAAGTTATCCCTTGCTTAGAAAGAAATGCCATTGTTGAATATGTAAAAGACTAGCAGGAAGCTTTGTACTTTGAGGTATGTGACAGCGGGTGTGTAGAGGTGCAGGCGGGCCTCTCTGTCCTTGCTTCTGTCTCTGTAATAACCCTCCAGCACGAGGTCACGGACGGTCAGCCACTTGCGGGCAGTGAGTTCAGAGGTCAACTGGTAGGTGTGGCGCTGGGGCTGACTCAGCTTGTGGGTCGTGTACACGTAGAGCCAGGGAGTGTCCATGTTGAACATACCTGGAGACAGCACACTCACAGTTACACGCACGTACGGCCACGCATAGACACACACAGGACATTCCGAAAATAAAAAGAAGAATTGGTGGATTTCTGCATGGTATAGTACAGTAAATAAAGTCCTTCAATCTTTCATTACCTTCCCATTTTCTGAGCATGGCTTTGGAGGTGTCCTTCCAGTTTAGTCCAGCTACCAGGGGCATCTGGTCGTTGTAGTTCACTTTGAGGTGAGTGCTGCTCTCGGCCCCCCTCTGCCTCAGGTGAGAGTGCATGAGCTGGGTCTTGTAGTTCAGCCGCTTGTCTGGGACCTGCAGGCTGAACTGGAGGAAAGGTTGGGTGGCGTATTGTATAGTGGTGAATTCGATTTTTGTTTTGTTTTTGTTATTGCTGAATGTACATAAGAGACCTGCCCATGCCCAAGGATAAACCGCTCATAATCTCAATGTACAGACTACACACCAAAAACATGAGGCACTTATCACTCGACTACTCTAGTTGACAGAAACCCTCAATTGTCATTAATTGCGTTAAATTGTCCCTTGATGATTAATATTGGAGGTAAAGAAATAGAGATAATAGATACGATAGAGATAGAAATAGAGATAACAGAAGCTGTGCTATCTCCAGGGCGCAAACAATGCAGTATGTTACTTGCTGTATTCATTATGGTAAACCTGATGATTTTCCATGTCACAAGATGATATACCACAGTCATAGAAATATACGTACTAGATAGTAGATCAACAGAGATAAAGCTGTGGTGTGTACCTCCAAGGCATAGCTGGTGAGGTTGTGTCTGGACTGGTTCCTGAAGGACTGGCTGAGGAGGAGGCGGTGCTTGTTGTTGATCTCATCCCAGTGTTTCCCATAGCTCACATCCACACTGGACTTGGTGTGGCTGGGGCTCTCTTCGTGTCTCAGCTGGACCTGGAAGAATGGAGAGGGATAGGATGAGTGGTGAGAGGAAATGATTCTATTCTATTCCTAACCTTTGACAACTTCAGTAACTAGTGAGTACATGGAGCATGGAGATACACTTGCAATTGGCTCCAATGGCTTGGTCGGAGCATGATGTTTGCAATGCCAATAACAACAGATAGTGAATGAAAGAGCCTAAACATTGAGTCCTGCCCAACCAGGTACTGTAGGCCTATGTGGTGACAATTCAAACAAACCGTAAACATGGTATGATATTAAACATGTCCTTGTGGTTACCAATGGTTACCTTGTGGTTAATGGGGGCTGTGGTAGAGCAGTAGAACTCGTGTTCAGCCCTCATGCGGTACGTCTGGTTGGGCTCCCTCTCACTCCTCAGGCTCTGGGACGTGTGGCACTCCTGACGCAGGTGGCGGGCATCCTCTGTGGAAGGTCAAAGTTCAGCACACCCCAAAGTGACAGATAGTGGCTTCAGAGCGGAGCTCCACCGTGTGCCTTAGAGAGGCTGCATGGCAGTGTCACTCACCTCGCAGGCCATATTTGAGCCTCAGTGCAGAGCTCCACAGTGGGCCCTTCTGCTCCATAAGCCCTAGAATCCTGCTGCCCACCACTCCAGGCAGTAGGAGCTCCGCCTCCACTGAGTACTGTCTCCGCCCATCATCCAGCCTCCTCTCCAAAACCACTGTGGATAACCAACCCATAATGATGGCATTACTATGCCTTTACAGTAACAAGCTTATAAAACACTCAATAGACAGTATTGGAGCACTGCAATGTATAGTTAGTTATTGGATCAAGTATTCAATCATCTATAACCTGAGAAGGAGGCAGCTTCTCTGAACACATTCTTCAGAGTGGCAGACAGGCTGGTCTTTCTGCCCAGCCCGCGGGTGACGTTAGCAGAGAGGATCATGGGACGGCTTTCCGCACCCACTTTGGCCTCTAGATGATAACGCAGCCTCTGCTCTGAGAGGAGGGTCTGGGAGTCAATCAGTCCCTGTGGAAAGCAAATGCACCATGGGAAATTATGTTCAAGACTTCACGGATAAAACATTGATAGTGATAACTGCATTGTTTACATTGATATTGATAACTTGTTGGGTTTAGAGCTTGCAAGAAAGGCATTTCACTGTACTTGTGCACGTTAAATTAAAACTTGAACAAATTTAAATGGTTGATTCAGGACGCTCCACAAGACAACAAAATCTCCAAACCTCCTCCTTACCATGATGTAATACTGATGAACGTTGTCTATCAGAAGCTCAAGTTTACCGGTCCATATGTTCCTCACTTGGTCAAGTTGCCCTGACAAAACAACACCATTGGTGTCAAGTTTTGCAATAGCAAGTCAAGTCAGTTTAATATCATTGTATCAAGTTCAGAACTGGGTTCAAATAGAATTGGAAATGTTTTGCATACTTTAATAGTTTGCTTGAGCCTACCAGATGCTGGTCGCTCAGCTGGTAGAGCACGGCGCTTGTAACGCCAAGGTAGTGAGTTCGATCCCCGGGACCACCCATAAACAAAAATGTATGCACGCATGACTGTAAGTCGCTTTGGATAAAAGCGTCTGCTAAATGGCATATTATATTATTATATTATAGATGGGCAGAGTTTGCACTTTTGGGACCATTCCATGGGTTCGACTGTGCCAAACAAGCACAGCTGAAGTATTTGAAATATTTCAAATACTACTTGAACCCAGGTCTGATCTAGTTCCCTATGGTCGACCTTGGAAGAGGACGAAATAGCAGCAAGTCAAGTCAGTTTAAATACGCTGAATCTAGTTCTCTACCCTGGATGGTGATGGTCTTAAGTGGGTGGGTCATCTTGAGGAGCAGCCTGTGGGGGCTGAGGGCCAGGTCCAGAGACATGTCCCTGGGGATGGAGGACTGGGGGGTGGCCAGGAGGAGGTGGAGGGAGGCCTCTCTGGGGAGCCAGGAGCCACTCTGAAACATAGAGGAACAACATGATCATTCATCACTTATATTAATTGCCATTCGGTTACAGATGCTATGTGTAGTAATAATGTGTTGTAATAATGTGTAGTAATAATGTGTAGTAATAATGTGTTGTAATAATGTGTTGTAATAATGTGTTAGAATAATGGGTAGTAATTGCAGTTCAAATAATGTTTTGCATTTGAGTATGCCAGATAGGCAGGGTTTCTACTTTTGGGACTACTCCATTTGTTCCATTGTGCCAGGCAAGCTCAATCAATAACAGATTGAAATCTCAAATTCTATTTGAACACAGGTCTGTGTAATTTTCATGGCACCAGTGCCAAAGGTTAACAAAAGTGTTATTAGATAACCTCTTGTGACAAAGCAATTAGCAGGACACTCAGCAGGAAATAGGTTGGATTGACAGTACCTGTGTCAATAGAGAGTATGCTGCCTCTAGCAGGTACTGGTGAAGGCCTCTGTCTAGCTTCAGCAGCCTGAGGGACAGGTGCACAGGGCCGGGAGGGGGGAAGGTAAGCCCCGTGGAGGATAAAGGGTAGGAGACATTGGAGCACAGCTGCCACCCCACCATCTTAGACCCTGGGAGAGAAATACGAAATGGCTGCTCATCCTCTTACTTCAATATACAAAATACTGGACAGCTTTTAGATATAATCTAGGCTAGCTTTGGAGATAAATTGTCACGATCGTTGACACATGATGAAGCGGACCAAGGCGCAGCGTTGAATGCGAACATATTCTTTAATTAGAGACACGATCAAAACAACAAACGATGCGTGACAGTTCACGGTCTAACATAACATCTGACCGGTGCCGGACCAGCCACCGGTGGAACAGGCACGGGCCGTGCCGGACTGACGACGCACACCACTGGCTTGGCGTGGGGAGCAGGAGCGGGCCGCGCCGGGCTGACGAAACGCACCACTGACTTGGTGCGGGGAGCAGGAGCGGGCCGGACCGGGCTGACGAAGCGCACCACTGACTTGGTGCGGGGAGCAGGAACGGGCCGTGCCGGGCTGACGAAGCGCACCACTGACTTGGTGCGGGGAGCAGGAACGGGCCGAGCTGGGCTGACGAAACGCACCACTGACTTGGTGCGGGGAGCAGGAATGGGCCGGACCGGGCTGACGACGCGCACCACTGACTTGGTAAGGGGAGCAGGAACGGGCCGCGCCGGGCTGACGACGCGCACCACTGACTTGGTGCGGGGAGCAGGAACGGGCCGTGCCGGGCTGACGAAGCGCACCACTGACTTGGTGCGAGTGGCAGGAACAGGCCGGACCGTACTGGGAACACACACCACTGGCCCTACGTGGGGATCAGGAACAGGCCGGACCGGACTGGCAACACACGCCAGTACCTCTCGCCGTGCCTCTACATCCTCCTTCCCCCTGGTGACCAGTGACTCCCGTAACCTGGCGGCCTCCTGCTGCCCCGTCGTCCACGGCGTTAGCCCCCCCCTAAAAAATTTATGGGCTTCACTCCTACCCGTGGCCAAGGCCTCCATCCCTCTTGCCAGACTCGCACTCATCTCCTCCCAAGTCCATCCTCTCTCCTCGTCACGCTGCTTGATCCAGTCGAGGTGGGATCTTCTGTCACGATCGTTGACACATGATGAAGCGGACCAAGGCGCAGCGTTGAATGCGAACATATTCTTTAATTAGAGACACGATCAAAACAACAAACGATGCGTGACAGTTCACGGTCTAACATAACCAGACTTGAAACAAGATCCCACAAACACACATGGGAAACAGACAGTTTAAATATGGCTCCCAATCAGAGACAACCAACGACAGCTGACACTCGTTGCCTCTGATTGGGAGCCACTCAGGCCAACATAGAAATACACATACTAAATAAACAACTGAAATGCACACCCTGGCTCAACATACAAGTGTCCCCAGAGCCAGGGCGTGACATAAATACTGGTCTCAGATCAACTAATATAATTTAGTTATTTAATCAGAAAGGAACTTACTTTACATCTACATACAGCATGACACTAGAATCTTCGCACAAATTGCCTAACAATTACACACAACTATTTCCAGTAAGGACTTGGACCTTTCCAGGCTTGACCTTAGATACAGCCCTTTAACTTTGCTGGGATGAACTCACAGGTCTTTGGAGTGCAGGTGGTCCTCTCCACACGACTCTTGGAGCCTCTCATCTCCTCTCGGTGGTCTCCGTTTACATGGTACATTCTGGAGCTGTGGCAAGCAGGGAGACATTGAAAATAAATCAATCAATCATTGAATTGGAATTTCAATTGGCTGAATTAAATGTGCTTTTGGCCCCAACATAGTTAGTTAACCAACTAATACAACTAGAAAAGGTTAAATGAAAATGTGAAATAACAGTAGTGTTCTTTCAGCAAGAACACTAATGACAGCTCTCACCTGAGAGAGACTATATCCATGAGTTCTTCAGGTGTGTTGAGGGCCACTCTCAGGTCATGGCCCTCCTGAAGATGCACACTCCCATCCAGACTGCTGGAGGTCCTGAGCTCTGTGGCCCACTCCACCCCAGCCCGACCCAGACCCCCATCCACCCCCATCCGGGCTGACAGGCCCACATAGGCACTGTGGGAGAGAAAAAGACCATAGAGATATAACACTTTCTTTTGTTTTATTATATGGGAAAGAAACATGGGACATTCCCACAGTGTGCAAAAGTACAGCGATCTTAACAAAAATTACAGTATTATTTCAAATACTTAGTATGCCACTAAGTGGTGGCCGCTGATAGGTGAAACACTAACCATGGATAAGAAAATGAAGAGGCCGTCAGATCCAAAATGGATGCCGACTTACCTGGGCTTGATGTGACCTGCCAGGGAAAAGTGTGACCAGTCTCTGTAGTTGGCACTGCCCTTGAGGCGCAGGGAGAGGAGGGAGGTCATGTTGATGCCCAGTCTAATGGGTAAGCCTGACAGAGAGGGCAGGACCAACTTCTCTGTCATCAACACTGCCCTGTGGTGGAGCTGCACCTCCTGACCCTGATGGAGGTGGAGGTGGAGGTGGAGGTGGAGGAGGTGGAGAGAGAGTGAGAGAGCGAGAGAGAGAGAGAGAGAGAGAGAGAGAAAATGAAAAAAATGAAAAGGGAGGTCATGTTGACATGACCTTCATTTCCTCAGTGAAAACAATGTACTGAGCAAATGTCAAATTGGCTTTTTACCAAATTACCGTACGACAGACCACGTATTCACCCTGCACACCCTAATTGACAAACAAACAAACCAAAACAAAGGCAAAGTCTTCTCATGCTTTGTTGATTTCAAAAAAGCTTTTGACTCAATTTGGCATGAGGGTCTGCTATACAAATTGATGGAAAGTGGGGTTGGGGGAAAAACATACGACATTATAAAATCCATGTACACAAACAACAAGTGTGCGGTTAAAATTGGCAAAAAACACACACATTTCTTTCCACAGGGCCGTGGGGTGAGACAGGGATGCAGTTTAAGCCCCACCCTCTTCAACATATATATCAACGAATTGGCGAGGGCACTAGAACAGTCTGCAGCACCCGGCCTCACCCTACTAGAATCTGAAGTCAAATGTCTTCTGTTTGCTGACGATCTGGTGCTTCTGTCACCAACCAAGGAGGGCCTACAGCAGCACCTAGATCTTCTGCACAGATTCTGTCAGACCTGGGCCCTGACAGTAAATCTCAGTAAGACAAAAATAATGGTGTTCCAAAAAAGGTCCAGTTGCCAGGACCACAAATACAAATTCCATCTAGACACCGTTGCCCTAGAGCACACAAAAAACTATACATACCTCGGCCTAAACATCAGCGCCACAGGTAACTTCCACAAAGCTGTGAACGATCTGAGAGACAAGGCAAGAAGGGCCTTCTATGCCATCAAAAGGAACATAAAATTTGACATACCAATTAGGATCTGGCTAAAAATACTTGAATCAGTTATAGAACCCATTGCCCTTTATGGTTCTGAGGTCTGGGGTCCGCTCACCAACCAAGAATTCACAAAATGGGACAAACACCAAATTGAGACTCTGCATGCAGAATTCTGCAAAAACATCCTCCGTGTACAACGTAAAACACCAAATAATGCATGCAGAGCAGAATTAGGCCAATACCCGCTAATTATCAAAATCCAGAAAAGAGCCGTTAAATTCTATAACCACTTAAAAGGAAGCGATTCCCAAACCTTCCATAACAAAGCCATCACCTACAGAGAGATGAACTTGGAGAAGAGTCCCCTAAGTAAGCTTGTCCTGGGGCTCTGTTCACAAACACAAACAGACCCCACACAGCCCCAGGACAACAACAACAACAACACAACTAGACCCAACCAAATCATGAGAAAACAAAAAGAGAATTACTTGACACATTGGAAAGAACAAACAAAAAAACAGAGCAAACTAGAATGCTATTTGGCCCTAAACAGAGAGTACACAGTGACAGAATACTTGACCACTGTGACTGACCCAAACTTAAGGAAAGCTTTGACTATGTACAGACTCAGTGAGCATAGCCTTGCTATTGAGAAAGGCCGCCGTAGGCAGACCTGGCTCTCAAGAGAAGACAGGCTATGTGCACACTGCCCACAAAATGAGGTGGAAACTGAGCTGCACTTCCTAACCTCCTGCCAAATGTATGACCATATTAGAGACACATATTTCCCTCAGATTACAGCGATCCACAAAGAATTCGAAAACAAACCCAATTTTGATAAACTCCCTTATCTACTGGGTGAAAAACCACAGTGTGCCATCACAGCTGCAAGATTTGTGACCTGTTGCCACAAGAAAATGGCAACCAGTGAAGAACAAACACCATTGTAAATACAACCCATATTTATGTTTATTTATTTTCCCATTTGTACTTTAACTATTTGCACATTGTTACAACACTGTATATATACATAATATGACATTTGAAATGTCTTTATTCTTTTGAAACTTCTGAGTGTAATGTTTACTGTTAATATTTATTGTTTATTTCACTTTTGTTTACTATCTACTTCACTTGCTTTGGCAATGTTAACACACGTTTCCCATGCCAATAAAGCCCTTAAATTGAAATTGAATTGAATTGAGAGAGAGAGAGAGAGAGAGAGAGAGAGAGAGAGAGAGAGAGAGAGAGAGAGAGACCCACATTAGCCCATACATTCTTTCTTGATACAATATTATGCTAAGATGAGCAAAACATTAAACTAATGTGTATGAGCATTGCTTAAAGGTAACATACTTGAAAGATATTACACAGGATTTCATCAAACTACATTCCTCTGAGATGATCATATGCAGTCATATCCTGTATGAGTCACACAGCACCACTATCTCAGAGGTCAGAGGTCACAGTCACATACCTTCAGCAGTCTGACAGCAACCCCAGCCATGCTGAGTGACAGCTCCTTTATCTGAGAGTAGAGGTCATCACAGGTCACCACGCTCAACTCGTTCCCAAACACTTTGACACCAAGCCAACAACGTGGTCTGGCCTCCTCCAGTCTCCCTCCTGAGAACTACAATAAAAACATCAATCATCATCCATGATCATTGAAAATATATTTACATCTACAATCGGAGTGAAGTGACCCATTATTTAGGCTAAACTATGAAACCATCAGATGTTGGCTATCTCCTAATGTAATTCTCTAAAGTATAACTCAAACATGCAAAAATAGAATTGGCACATAGGCTAGCTAGGCTTAGATAGGCTAATGAATGTAGCAATGGTAAAATATTGCTGTGAAAGTCTCACCATAGTCCTGGCCTGGTTGAGGTAACTGTAGATGCTAGGTGAACAACCCTCCTTTCCACTCTGGCTTTCAGAGCTGTCTCTTTCCCCAGCTTTTCTCCTTCTCCTCTCCTTCATCTGTCCTTTATTTCCTTCCCCTGCTTTTCTTCTTCTTCTCTCCATCATCTGAGACTCCTTTCCATCCTCCTCTCCATCCTGAGTTGTAGGCTCCTCATCAGGAGAAGTTGATTGGTAGCCAAAAATGCGTTTCAGAAGAGGTTCAATGTTTTCCACACGTAGATTGACCTGTGGAGGAGAGCAGCCAATTAGATTTCCAGTTTTCTGTTTAATTTGAATCACATACAGTATCTGTTCCTCAGATATGTTGTTTTACGTCCCTCTCTCGGTAATTCAATGCTTCAGAGCATTGAGGAAAAGCAGAAAATGCTCTCAAAAACACATTCAGTTGCTCACAGAATGAAACCAATAAACGATGATCTAACTACTCACCTCAAGCAGATTGAAAGCTCTTCCGTGGATATAGACAGTCAGGTTAGCCATGGCAGAGCGCGGCACAAAGGACTTGGAAGAGAAAACCAAGACTCCCTCCATATTCGCAACTCCAAATCCTGAGACACACAAAAAACACATACTGTATTCTTCTGCTCTTCAAAGGACAACCAAGTGCAAAATGTAATCACTTCTGAAACAATTATCACTACAACAAGTAATTGAAGAAGGTTTTCCTAAAAAGACAAAGCTACCCTATCACAGGTAACTTGCCATACATTATAACATATGTATCAACATATTAACATATTAGCATATTCATCCAATGTTGTTAATGTTACTACACAGATACAGTGCCTTCAGAAAGTATTCATACCTCTTGACTTAATCCACATTTTGTTGTGTTACAGCCTGAATTCAAAATGGATGACATATTTTTTTTTCTCACCCATCTACACACAATACCCCATAATGACAAAGTGAGATCATGTTTTTAGACATTTTTGCAAATGTATTGAAAATGAAATACAGAAATATCTAATTTGTATAAGTATTCACACCCCTGAGTCAATACATGTTAGAATTACCTTTGGCAGCGATTACAGCTGTGAGTCTTTCTGGGTAAGTCTCTAAGAGCTTTGCACACCTGGATTATACAGCATTTTCACATTATTCTTTAAAAAATTATTCAAGCTCTGTCAAGTTGGTTGTTGAGCATTGCTAGACAGCCATTTTCATGTCTTGCCATAGATTTGCAAGTCAATTTAAGTCAAAACTGTAACTAGGCCACTCAGGAACATTCAATGTCATCTTGGTAAGCAACTCCAGTGTATATTTGGCCTTGTGTCTTAGGTTATTGTCCTGCTGAAAAGTGAATTTGTCTCCCAGTGTCTGTTGGAAAGCAGACTGAACCAGGTTTTCCTCTAGGATTTTGCCTGTGCTTATAGCTGTATTCCATTTATTTTTATCCTAAAAAACGACCTAGTCCTTGCCCATGACAAGCATACCCATAACATGATACAGCCACCACCATGCTTGAAAATATGAAGATTGGTTCTCAGTGAAGTGTTGTATTGTATTTGCCCCAAACATAACGCTTTGGATTCAGGACATACAGTTAATTTGTTTGCCATATTTTTTGCAGTTTTACTTTAGTGCCTTCTTGCAAACAGGATGCATGTTTTGGAATATTATTGTTCTGTACAGGCTTCCTTCTTTTCACTCTGTCATTTAGGTTAATATTGTGGAGCAACTACAATGTTGTTGATCCATCTTCCATGTTCTCCTATCACAGCCATTAATCTCTGTAACTGTTATTAAAGTCACCATTGGCCTCATGGTGAAATCCCTGAGCAGTTTCCTTCTTCTCCGACAACTGAGTTAGGAAGGACGCCTGTATCTTTGTAGTGACTGGGTGTATTGATACACCATCTAAAGTGTAATTAATAATTCACTATGGTCTAAGGGATATTCAATGCCTGCTACCAATAGGTGCCCTTCTTTGCATTGGAAAACCTCCCTGGTCATTGTGGTTGAATCTGAAATTCGCTGCTCAACTAAGGGACCTTACAGATAATTGTATGTGTGGAGTACAGAGATGAGGTAGTCATTCAAAAATCATGTTAAACACTATTATTGCACACAGCGAGTCCATGCAACTTATTATGTGACTTGTTAAGATTGATTTTACTCCTGAACGTATTTAGGCTTGCCATAACAAAGCTTTACATTTTTTATTAATTTGTAAATATTTCTAAAAACATAATTCCACTTTGACATTATGGGATATTGTGTGTAGGCCAGTGACACAAAATCTCAATTTAATCAATATTAAATTCAGGCTATAACACAACAAAATGTGGAAAAAGTCAAGGGTGTGAATACTTTCTGAAGGCACTGTATAAGAGGAATTTAATGTAAATTACCTGAGTCTGCAGTGTAGTCTGAATAAGAGGAACTTAATGTAAATTACCTGAGTCTGCCGTGTAGTCTGAATAAGAGGAACTTAATGTAAATTACCTGAGTCTGCCGTGTAGTCTGAATAAGAGGAGTATTTCCAGGGTTCAGCCTCAAAGTCTTTGGTGATGATGTCATCAGGCAGTGCCTCCATCAGGGCCTGCTTCGTAGGGTCCTCAGTTCTCAGGACCTGGGTCAGGTGACTCCACACAAAAGAGCCCACTGAGAATGAAATTCAGAGGGATCATCAATATATCACTCAGTATAGTAACATCTTACTATTAGGATGTCATTTGGAATCTCTCAGAGTAGTCAACCTGTATGGCTGGTCCCAATTCACTCCCTGTCCCTGCTCTTTGGCCCTAAACCAATATTTGTAGATCTGAAGGGTCTGGATAGTTATAAGCGGTGTAGAGGTTGAGCTTTTACCATATTTCTTCCACCTTACAGATCTGCAAAAACTGAAGGGCCAAGGGAGAAGGGCACACTTTTAGAAAAAAATTGCTATCCAGTTCTTAATTTGAGCAGCATCCTGACAGAACAGGATCTGGCACCTCTCAGTTTTGGACTGTTTAGTTCCGGAACCCATTTGCCAGGATCCGGTACCTCTTATGGCATTAACAAATATTTTCACTGTTTGCAATGTAAAAATTCTAATAAAAGCAATCAGAGTTAATTCAAGTTGACTCCTCTCCTGGCTGCTCCCTAAAAAACGAAATGTGAAAACTTGCCTGATATTATAAGAATTGATTTGTGTTGAGCCGGCCAGGGTTTATGGTGTGCTCAACATTGTAGCACATATAGACCAACGAGTGGCCATTACTCTGGAGAGAGAGAAAAGCGCGCCTGTATCTCTCACATAACTAGAATGAGATTCACTTTCTATGATCGCTCTCCCTCTCTCTCTCTGCGCTGATAGACATGAGCGTTGCACTTCATCATTTATTTCCGTATAGAATCATAGCAGTGGGAAGGGTGCTGGAGGTGCCGCCCCACCCATGATACATTTAAATACATTTGCCAAAGTTATAGAATTACTCATGTCTGTTCATAAATAAATGAAATAATTCCGAATACTACACCAGGGGGTTCTACTAAGCTATATGGAATTGTTTTTAGAAGGTCATACCAAGGATCATTTTGTTATTTGATTTTGAATTTTAAGACCCCTTGAAGTATCAAAAAAATATATAAAATAATTATTTGATGAAAAATGTTATTTGGCCTTACATGCTACCCTGACCGCGTGCGCCATCACGCCATCAAATTGATTTTGTCCCCCCACACCAGACGCGATCAGGACACGCAGGTTGAAATATCAAAACAAACTCTGAACCAATTATATTAATTTCGGGACAGGTCGAAAAGCATTAAACATTTATGGCAATTTAGCTAGCTAGTTTGCTGTTGTTAGCTAATTTGTCCTGGGATATAAACATTGGGTTGTTATTTTACCTGAAATGCACAAGGTCCTCTACTCCGACAATTAATCCACAGATAAAACGGTAAAACATTTGTTTTCTAGTAATCTCTCCTCCGTCAGGCTTCTTCTTCTTTGGACTTTATGGTGCATTACAACTGGACTGGAGCGTAGACTTGTGGTCAGCATGTTAGCTAGTGCTATTAGCCCATACAAACGAATTGAATAACAGATTCACTACATGGACAACAGACAGCCCCCCCCAATATATTTTTTTAATAAATACGAAGTTTGTTCTGAAGTGTCTGTCCTATATCTGAGAGAATCGTTTTTTTTTTAAACATGTATTTAACCCCTTATTTTTGGCACTAAACATTGTCAATGTATACTTCCATTCATTTTTTCAACTGGTACTAGGGTACGTTCAGACGAGTCTTGTGAGGCCTGTTCGGACGCTACAGACAGAAGTTGGCAAATCGGCTGTACTGACTTCAGACGAGTCCCAATATGCTTGTGGGGGTCGTAGAGCAAAACGGAGAACACCATTGTGTTTGTGAGAGTCTCATCTTTACTTAGAGTAGTTTTGTTGGCCAAACCGTTCGGACGCTACTTACAATTTTGAGTGAAGACCGATTTTCGGGATGTCTCATGGTCTGACAAAACTAGCTAGCTGCATTCGCTAGCTACTTAACACTTATGAAAAAAGATTGCAGTCAGAATGCAGTATAACTGCTTCAGTATGCTGCAAATACTGCGTCCAAAATAACACAGCTTTTTTTACTGCAGTAATTTTGCAGTGTAACTGTCCAAAATATCACAGTTGACTGCAGTTACTGCACTTTTAATGCAGTTTCAAAACTGCAATCTTTTTTTGTAAGGGAAGTGAAAGTGAAAGTAATATATATATATATATATATATATATATATATATATATATATATATATATATATATATATATATATATAGCTAGCTCTCCCTCTCTTCACCTTCATTTCTGAATAAATTAATTTGTTCAAAACTGTTCAACTATTTTCTTTCTGTCTCTGAGTCAACTACTCAACACATTTTATGCACTGCAGTGCTAGCTAGCTGTAGCTTATACTTTCAGTACTAGATTAATTATCTGATCCTTTGATTGTGTGGACAACATGTCAGTTCATGCTGCAAGAGCTCTGATACCAGGGGACGTTGCATGAAATGAATAGCATGAAATGCGTTTATAAAAGGCAACAATTTTCCCGGAACCTAGGCTACAAAAAATGTTCCCCATGTGTGCAACTTCTGCAAGCGCCTCTACACTACTGCTCTATGCTAGTACGCAAAAGCGATGATAATGCATGCAGTGCTTTATTATAAAGCTTTTTTTTTTTTTAAAGGTGACCCTTTTTTTCTACGATTGTTCGGAGCAAATTGGGACAAGCTGACAGACTCAAACCTTGGCTGGAAGTCTCGTGGCTCAGAGTCGCCTTCACTGCTCGAAGCACTTCAGGGTCGGGGCAGTGCATGATCTGCTGGTATGCAGCGATCCTGACCTCCACCTCCTCCTGGGGGTCGCGGTAGAGTTGCAGCACAGACCCCCTCTGGAGAAGCAAAGAGCTGTCAGTCACAGACCCCTTGCCCCAACGTCACCTCAACATCCCCACAACATCAGCGTGACTCCATTACCATGTGAAGAGATCCTTCTGTTTACAGTATGAACCACAGGAGGCTGCTGAGGGGAGGATGGCTCATAATAATGGGCGGAATGGAGCGAATGGAATGGCATCAAACACACAGAAAACATGTCTCATGTATTTGATACCATTCCACTTACTCCACTCCAGCCATTACCACGAGCCCATCCTCCCCAATTAAGGTGCCTCCAACCTCCTGTGGTATGAATAGTATGCCGACTGAATTGTTTTAGTTCAACAGGATACTCAAGTCAAATGTATTAAAGTCAAATCATGTTTGAACTGTAACATCCCTTTGGACAATAAAGTATTGTCTTGTATCATATCGTATCCCTTCCGTGGGACTTCCGCTGCTTGAAATGATTAAATCAATCAAGGCTTTATTCCGTGAGAGACGGTTTCTCTGCTTATTCCAATTAACCACAAACCAGGCTCCAGAAAAAAAAGTTTCCTAATTCGAAACTTTGAACTGAGCAAAACAGTTATTTGTTCTAAGGTTCAGATCATTCCAAGAGGTTATGCCTAGAAACTTGATAATTATCTGCCATCCTACTCACGTCAGCATTGCAGGGGATGCGTCTGAAAGCTTGTATGGCAGTGAGTCTCAGCTCCAGAGGAGTGGAGTGGCTCTGCATACAGAGGTTTAGCTGAGGGATGAGAGCTGAAGCAGCCAAGCCTGCATTTCCCACTGCTTTCAATGCATAGAGCAGCTGTAGGAGGAATCATCACTTTACATCATTATCATCATTCTTGTTGCTGCTATCTTAATCATCAGCAGCAGCAGCCATTGAGATGCTCAGGTTCAGGAGTCAGGACAAGTATGAACCACGGAATACACAATGTAATATCACATTTTAAATACAGCACAATCATCAGATGGTGACAAAACTCCAATACCAGCACACCATTATAATCTGTGTACATAGAGTTAGATCTAATTGTGTCTGGGTACCTCTGGTTTCTCCCCTCCACAGCCCTCTCCCAGGGTGTCTTTCAGGGCCTGTATGAAGCTCTGGACCTGGGGGATGAGACTGCAGGGAGACTCTCTCCTCTGACATAGCAGGTGGACCAGGGAAGAACCAGTCAACAGGGCCTTGGTCCGCACCTCAGGTGTCTTCAGCAATGCCTGAGAGAAAAGGAGGGAAAGAACAAGGGTTTTATACTATGGACCCATTGTATTCCTATGTTTATCTCTGATTATGTGTTTGATGGGTGACGCCAAAGCATGCGTTGTTGGATGTGACCTCAACAGTGTCGAGAAGTAAATGTATCGGTTGAGTTTCCTGCAACGATTTTGAATCATATGTAGACCTATATGCATCATTCTCAGCCACATAATTCAATTGAGATGTCTAATAAAATAGGTACAGTATACTGTATCTAAACCTCTGTTTATGTTCAACCCAAAGTCAATATCCCCATAGAACTTTCCATCAGACCTACAGTACGTACATTGACGGAGCCGATGATGTGTGGCGAGGGGTGAGGGATGAGGGCGATGGTGGTGAGAAAAGAGTGGGCCCTCTCCTGCTCTATCTCCTCATCCCGGATGAGGTCCGTTAAGAGGACGATGCATTCCTCTGAGCCACACGCTGGTAGGCCGTCCAAGAGAGGCTGCCTGCAACAATAGCATAGTCAACAGAGTAATTAACTGCTGGGAATGGACATCACCGATTCAGTCACATATTCTCACTTCAGAAAGGTTCTTATAAAACCAATGTATAAAAGCATTATAAATCATTATTAATCAAAAGCATCATTTAATTGATATACACCATATTAATTATTGTAAAGGATGTCTAGTTTCTTTGGGTGTGTTATAATGGAAGTGCTTTGTGACTAATTAACAAAAACCTGATCTCAGCTACAGAGAAGAATATGGCAGAGAGGACGCCATTTTGATTTTGCCTGTAGTTTTAATCAGCCTAGTGATGACTAGTAAGTTGTTTCAGGGAGGAGTTATAGATGTAAAGTTGGCTGCTATCCCACAGACAGACTGCTCTCTGTCCATACCTTGCCCCAGAGCTCTGTGTATTTTTCTCATTAGGGAAACCGTTAACAAGCGTTCCACTGCCTCTATTGCATTAAAATGCTGATACAAGGCGTGACAGAGTCAGCCCAGTCAGTATATTTTAGAGTCGTATTCAGTAGGGAGGAAACGTTTTGAAACAGAATGAAAAAGGGTGGAACTTCCTGAACTTCCTGTCCAATAAGAACACAGATGTAAATCTTCCATGGCAAAGTATTTTGTTACAGTGTTCCCTACTTAACACAACCCAGGATACATTTAGGAGAGAACATTGGCTGAAGGGAACTGACCAGTCGTTGCGGCACTTGAAGGAGGCGTCGTGCCACAGTGTCTTGAGCTGAGGCAGGGACAGGGCTCTCAGTTGAAAGGCCAAGAGCAGGAACAGCTCCGACAGCTACATACAGGGAAGACGATACACACACAGTTTATTTCCATGAAATGTTTTTCCTGAATAATAATGTTTTTCCTGAAATGAAGGAATTGACTTTTTAAGGAGCATTATTTACATAAATGTCAAAAATCCCTCCTACATTTAACTTTCTTTGTGCTAAATCTCAAGAAAATACAACATTTTGACACTGAATGACCTTACGAAAATGAACTTCCAATTAACATGCCTAACTTTAGAAAGCTGCAGCCAGGGTTATGATTTCATAAGAGCGGGACAGAGACAGACTCAAAACAGAAACAGACTCATTGATCTTATCAATCATTTGATAACCAAAAAGTAATAATAATTTGAAAGAGAGAGAGAGAGGGACTGACAGGATGCCAGGTTGGCCCCTTTTTAAAGGCCCCCCATTTAAACAACCCGTCATGACGATTGCCAGATTGGGTTTGACTTAGCTCCTGTGTAAGAGCTGAGGAAAAAGAGGGAAAGCTCCCAGGGAGAACCACAGCACACAAACACAAACAAGCCAACTTTGGTTTGGCAGGGAACACATTACTGAAGAAAAAACCTCTGCCCTTGGGAAGGGGTTAGGGTTTGAAACGTTGTACGAAGCCATCGCTCATAGGTTCCTTCCTGGGGAACCTATACATCTTTACTCAATGAAGACAAATAATGGTATAATAATGCATTATGATGTTGTTTTGTCCAACATGTCTCCGGATCTAAATATTGCCACAGTCATACCCTGGATCTAATTTTGTCCCATGGAATAAATATTGTGGATCTAAATGTTTTTCCTCATAATCCTGGACTATCGGACCACCATCTTATTATGTTTGAAATCGCAACAAATAATCTGCTCAAACCCCAACCAAGGATTATCAAAAGCAGCGTTATAAATTCTCGGACAGCCCAAAGATTCCTAGATGCCCTAACAGACTCCCTTCACCTACCTAAGGTCGTTGGAGTACAAAAATCAGTTAACCACCTAACCGAGGATCTAAATTTCACCTTGCATAATACCCTAGATGCAGTCGCACCTCTAAAAACTAAAAACATTTGTCACAAGAAATTAGCTCCCTGGTATACAGAAAAAATACGTAAATTAGAACGTAAATGGCGCTCCACCAAACTGGAAGTCTTCCGACTAGCTTGGAAAGACAGTACTGTGCAATAGCAAAGAGAGCTCACTGCTGCTCGATCAGCCTATTTTTCCAACCTGATTGAGGAGAATACAAAAAGAAATGTTTAATACTGTTGCAAAGCTAACTAAAAAGCAGCATTCCCCAAGTAAGGATGGCCTTCACTTCAGCAGTGATGAATTCATGAACTTCTTTGATGAAAAGATCATGATCATTAGAAAGCAAACTACAGACTCCTCTTTGAATCTGCGTATTTCCTCAAAACTCAGTTGTCCTGAGTATGCACAGAACTGTCAGGACCTAGGATCAATGGCCACACTCAAGTTTTTTAATCCTGTATCTCTCGACACATTCACAAAAATAGTCATGGCCTCTAATCCTTCCAGCTGCCCACAATTCCGACTTAACTACTGAAAGAGCTACTTCATGTGCTTGGCCCTCCTATGTTGAACACAATAAACGGCTCCCTATCCTATGGATGTGTACCAAACTCACTAAAAGTGGCAGTAAGAAAGCCTCTGCTGAAAAAGCATAACCTTGACCCGGAAAATTTTAAAAACGATTGCCTATATCGATTCTCCCGTTACTCAATTTTTTGGGGTTAAAAGCGCAGCAACTCACTGCCTTCCTGAAGACAAACAATCTAGACGGAACGCTCCGGTCTGGTTTTAGACCCCATCATAGTATTGAGACTGCATTCGTGAAGGTGGTAAATTACCTGTCCTCATGCTCCTAGACCTCAGTGCCGCTTTTGACACCACCGATCACCACATTCTTTTGGAGAGATTGGTTAACCCTAATTGGTCTACACAGACAAGTTCTTGCCTGGTTTAGATCTTATCTGTCGGAAATATATCAGTTCGTCTCTGTGGATGGTTTGTCCTCTGACAAATCAATTGTACGTTTCGGTGTTCCTCAAAGTTCTGTTTTAGGACCACTATTGTTTTCACTATATAATCTCAATCTTGGTGATGTCATTCAGAAACAATGTCAACTTTCACCGCTATTCGGACGACACACAGCTAGCTGTACATTTCAATGAAACATGGTGAAGCTCCAAAAGTGCCTACCCTGGAAGCCTGTGTTTCAGACATCAGACATAAGGAAGTGGATGGCGGAAAATGTTTTACTTTGAAACTGGGACAAAACAGAGATGTTAGTTCTAGGTCCCAAGAAACAAAGATATCTGCTGTTTGATCTGACAATTAATCTGATGGTTGTACTGTCGTCTCAAATAAAACTGTGAAGGACCTCTGCGTTGCTCTGGACCCTGATCTCTCTTTTGACGAACATATCAAGAATATTTCAAGGGCAGCTACCTGGATAAAGCACTAAATAAACTTCAGTTATTGCTAAATACGGCTGCTAGAATCTTGACTAGAACCAATTCGATCATATTACTCCAGTGCTAGTCTCTCTACACTGGCTTCCTGTTAAGGCTAGGGCTGATTTCAAGGTTTTACTGCTAACCTACAAAGCATTACATGGACTTGCTCCTACCTATCTCTCCGATACTGTACCTACACGTACGCTACAGTCACAAGACGCAGGCCTCCTTATTGACCCTAGAATTTCTAAGCAAACAGCTAGAGGCAGGGCTTTCTCCTATAGAGCTCGAGTTTTATGGAATGGTCTGCCTATCCATGTGAGAGACGCAGACTCGGTCTCTATCTTTAAGTCTTTACTGAAGACTCATCTCTTCAGTAGGTCCTACGATTGATTGTAGTCTGGCCCAGGGGTGCGAAGGTGAACAGCAAGGCACTGGAGTGACGAACCCCCCTTGCTGTCTCTACCTGGCCGGCTCCCCTTTCTCCACTGGGATTCTCTGACCTCTGACCCTATTACGGGGGCTGAGTCACTGCTTTACTAGTGCTCTTCCATGCCGTCCCTAGGAGGGATGCGTCACGTCGTGCCAGGCTTTTTTCGCTATACGCGACTTGAGTGGGTTGAGTCACTGACGTGATCTTCCTATCTGGTTTTGCGCCCCCTCTGACTTGTGTGGTGGATCTTCGTGGGCTATCTCAGGGTAGTAAGTTAGTGGTCTGTTGATATCCCTTTAGTGGTGTGGGGCTGTGCTTTGGCAAAGTGGATGGGGTTATATCCTGCCTGGTTGGCCCTGTCCGAGAATATCGTCGGACAGGGCCACAGTGTCCCCCGACCCCCCCTGTCTCAGCCTCCAGTGTCTATGCTGCAAAAGTCTATGTGCCGGGGGGCTAGGGTCAGTCTGTCCTATCTGGTGAAATTATCTTGTCTTATCTAGTGTCCTCCCTCTAATTCTCCCATCTCTCTCTCTCTCCCCTCCCGGAGGACCTGAGCCCTAGGACCATGCCTCAGGACTACCTGGCCTGACAACTCCTGGCTGTCCCTGTCCCCAGTCGACCTGGTCGTGCTGCTGATCCAGTTTCTGCTGTTTTACCTGTGGCTATGGAACCCTGACCTGTTCACCAGACGTGCTACCTTGTCGTGCTGCTGCTCCAGTTTCAACTGTTCTGCCTGTGGCTATGGAACCCCGACCCTCTCTCTCCCTCTCCCTCTCTCTCTCTCTCTCTCTCTCTCTCCCTCCCTCTCTCCCTCTCTATCGCACCTGCTGTCTCGACCTCTGAACGCTCGGCTATGAAAAGCCAACTGACATTTATTCCTGAGGTGCTGACCTGTTGCACCCTCTACAACCACTGTGATTATTGTTTGACCCTGCTGGTAATCTATGAATGTTTGAACCTTGAAGAACGATCTGGCCTTAATGGCCATGTACTCTTGGAATCTCCACCCGGCACAGCCAGAAGAGGACTGGCCACCCCTCAGAGCCTGGTACCTCTCTAGGTTTCTTCCTAAGTTCCTGCCTTTTCCAGGAAGTTTTTCCTAGCCACCGTGCTTCTACATCTGCATTGCTTGCTGTTTGGGGTTTTAGGCTGGGTTTCTGTATAAGCACTTTCTGACATCTGCTGATGTAAATTGATAAATGTGATTGATTGATTGATTGATTATAATGCATTGTAAGACTTGTCATAAGCGTGAATGACTCCCTTATGATGTCTTAGGGGTCCTACCTGTTGCTGGTCAGAGGTGAGACCACACAGCTTCCTCACGGTGTCCGTGGCCTCCTGGGGGGAGGACGTCCTGCCTCTGGCTTTCCCTTCAGCCCCCTCCTCCACAAACTGGAGGTCAGTCAGGACACCTAGACCCAACGTATCTGAGGGAGGAGAATATCATTCAAATGAATATCATATTGTTGAGAGAGTGGGGCCTAAGTGACCAAGTTACATTCATTTGAATAAAAGTTTGAGCTTTCAGCCTCTCAATTTGAATGACTGAGATAATTACATTCTCAAAGAATGATTGAGAATGTATTTAAAGTTTGCAACAGCCATAGTGGTCCTAGCAGTAGTAGTCATAGTAGTGTGATGAAAGTAACAGCAATATGAGTGCTTCCTAGCTAATAGTAGTGTAGTAGTAATAGTAGTAATAGTTTATTTTGGCATTATTAGCTTTTACACAGACAAACACTAGAACACATTGATGTCAGATGGGTAACAAAGTGACACAGTCATTCAGGTACACTACAGTATAGCCTATACTCACCCACTCCTGAGGAGGGTCTCAGAAGCATACTCACCCACTCCTGAGGAGGGTATCAGAAGCATACTCAGACACTCCTGAGGAGGGTATCAGAAGCATACTCACCCACTCCTGAGGGTGTGCCCTTCTGGGCTCTGAGCAGCGTAAGGGTAGAGACGGTCTGGGTCTTCACCACTCCTGTTGACCCTGACAACGGTACCATGGAGATGATCTCTGTGCAGTTGACCTCCTCCATCACTGTAGTCCCATGCCGCTGGGTACACTGGAGTTTGGAGTCCACTGTCTGAAGTGGACATAAGAGATAGGAACCCTCCTTCGTAAAAGTGGAAGTGTTAACTGGCTAGAGGGTACACAAGAAACTGGTGGAAGGTATTTTGCTTATCTGGCAAAATGGTTTAGCCTGAGTCCCAGATCTGTATGTGCTGTCTACTCGATTGCTGTCACTGTCACGCCATGACAGCAATGGAGTTGGTAAGACAGCACAAAACGATCTGGGACTCAGGCTACCAATTTTTAGGTCCATCTGAAACCTACTGACAATCTAACAGATCCTTTATGAACCAAACCTGCACTAGAAGGTTTCCATGGTGCTCTCTAAGTTACAAAAGTTGGCATCATTCCCTAGCACTTCTGTATTTCATTATGCACTGCCTGTACCAACATCAATGCAAGAGGAAGACATCAATGATTGGTTGTGACTATGGTAACAATAGACTATTCCATGTTGACGGGGGAGAGGATGGTAGAAGAGCTCACTGTGTCCTCTCTCAGACGGGTGGAATGGGACCAGAAGTATGCCAGTCTGTCCTGTTGACACTGCCTGAGGTTCCTCGTCTTCACCAGTAGAGGCCCTCTCCTCTCATACTTACTAGTACATGTCCCGTACAGATCCGTCTGAAGAATTGACACAGGAAGGAAAAAAGGCAGAGGATTGTCCAATGTACAAGACATAGGTGTCCAAACTTGGTTCTGGAGAGCTACAGGATGTGTAGGCTTTTGTTCCAGCCCAGCTTTGACACACTTGATTAATGAATCATGGTATTCAATGCAGATCATAATTACTTAGGAGTTAATTGGGTTAGTGCTGGGCTGGAACAAAAGCCTGCAACCGCAGTAGCCGTGCAGAACAGACTTTGGACACCACTGCAATACGTCATCCACCTACTGCAAATACTAACCTAATGTTTCATGCATGGCCTATCCTGCTTTTACTCATATTGGGAGACGGATTAAATCCCCTCTCACCTCCTTCACTACTTCCTGCTTCTCGGTGGTGCGGGAGGTCTGGATCATGCTCAGTAGGGCTCTCTTGATGTTCAGCGTCCACAGCTGCTCCCCCTCCTGCGGACAGAGGGCCGTGACCTTTCCCCCCTGGAGGGAGAACTTGAGGCGACTCCTCTCTAGCGACTCCCTGGGAGAGTAACCAAAACACCAGATGAGACCCCCAGGACCCCAGGACCTCCAGACACATGATGGTGTTGTCGGAGCAGAGTATCACATTCTCAGGAAAAACAATCTGGAATGATCTGGGACTAGTGTGCTTGTATCATTTCTGCACTATTGTGCTATCAAATCATGCATTATTGTGGATGATATGTGCTTTTGTAACTCAAATCATCCATAATAATTCATAATTTGATAGCACAAACACTTAAGAAATGATAGATGTGCACATTGTAACATGCAGATTTAAATTTGGTCTAAGACGCAAAAGGTACGAAGAATAAGCAAAACACATCAAATCAGGGGGAAACCCGCACAGGAGCAAGGAAAAGAAAGAGCACAAACATGTACAAAAACACACACAAGTTGCACAATGCAAGCAATATTCATGCAGTCATTTCAGATTACCTCAAACTCTTTAGGCGTTGCACAGAATGTTCCTTCTGGGGAGAAAGGCGCTTTATCTGTGGATTCCTAATCTACAGGGAGCATAGAAAAGAACATCACTAAAAGGTCCCATATCATATTAATTTCCAATTTTGTATTATATTCAGCGCTGGAAATGGGGAGGAACCAGGGGGAACTGGAGCTCCCAAAGTGAAATCATTTTTTGACAAAGCAATTTAAGGTGAATTCAAGGATTTTCAATTGGTAGGTTCGCAGAGTGACTTTTTCAACAACAACAAAAAATCACCATATTGGTGTGAATATTTCTGTATATCTGACCTGCATCATAAGGTGACACTTGGAAATTGCGTCAATATCCACCACACAGTCGAGAGCCAGTCCATTTCTGCCTGAGGTAGAGCCTTGTAGAGTAGTGGCTATCGTAGTGCTGTACCTGTACGTGTACCTCACCCCTCTCTGGTACGAGATGTCAGGGGATGAGGAAGCTGTAGCCAGCAAATAATATACAGTTGAAGTCGGAAGTTTATGTACACTTAGGTTGGCGTCATTAAAACTCGTTTTTCAACCACTCCACTCATTTCTTGTTAACAAACTATAGTTTTGGCAAGTTGGTTAGGACATCTACTTTGTGCATGACACAAGTCATTTTTCCAACAATTGTTTACAGACAGATTATTTCACTTATAATTCACTGTATCACAATTCCAGTGGGTCAGAAGTTTACATACACTAAGTTGACTGTGCCTTTAAACAGCTTGGAAAATTCCAGAAAATTATGTCATGGCTTTAGAAGCTTCTGATAGGCTAATTGACATCATTTGAGTCAATTGGAGGTGTACCTGTGGATGTATTTCAAGGCCTACCTTCAAACTCAGTGCCTCTTTGCTTCACATCATGGGAAAATCAAAAGAAATCAGCCAAGACCTCTGAAAAACAATTGTAGACCTCCACAAGTCTGGTTCATCCTTGGGAGCAATTTCCAAACGCCTGAAGTACCACGTTCATCTGTACAAACAATAGTACGCAAGTATAAACACCATGGGACCACGAAGCCGTCATATCCCTCAGGAAGGAGACACGTTCTGTCTCCTAGAGATGAACGTACTTTGGTGCAAAAAGTGCAAATCAATCCCAGAACAACAGCAAAGGACCTTGTGAAGATGCTGGAGGAAACAGGTACAAAAGTATCTATATCCACAGTAAAATGAGTCCTATATCGACATAACCTGAAAGGCCGCTCAGCAAGGAAGAAGCCACTGCTCCAAAACCACCATAAAAATGACAGACTACGGTTTGCAACTGCACATGGGGACAAAGATCGTACTTTTTGGAGAAATGTCCTCTGGTCTGATGAAACAGAAATAGAACTGTTTGGCCATAATGACCATCGTTATGTTTGGAGGAAAAAGGGGAAGGCTTGCAAGCCGAAGAACACCATCCTAACCGTGAAGTACTGGGGTGGCAGCATCTTGCTGTGGGGGTGCTTTGCTGCAGGAGGGACTGGTGCACTTCACAAAATAGATGGCATTATGAGGAAGGAAAATTATGTGGATATATTGAAGCAACATCTCAAGACATCAGTCAGGAAGTTAAAGCTTGGTCGCAAATGGGTCTTCCAAATGGACAATGACCCCAAGCATACTTCCAAAGTTGTGGCAAAATGGCTTAAGGACAACAAAGTCAAGGTATTGGAGTGGCCATCACAAAGCCCTGACCTCAATCCTATAGAACATTTGTGGGTAGAACTGAAAAAGTGTGTGTGAGCAAGGAGGCCTAAAAAACCTGACTCAGTTACACCAGCTCTGTCAGGAGGAATGGGCCAAAATTCACCCAACTTATTGTGGGAAGCTTGTGGAAGGCTACCCGAAACGTTTGACAGAGAGAAGAAATAAAAGCTGAAATAAATCATTCTCTCTACTATTATTCTGACATTTCACATTCTTATAATAAAGTGGTAAACCTGACTGAATTAAGACATGGAATTTTTACTTGGATTAAATGTCAGGAATTGTGAAAAACTGAGTTTAAATGTATTTGGCTAAGGTGTATGTAAACTTCCGACTTCAACTGTACCTATTTGAATAACCATTATCTGGTAACGCTTTATAATATCTTTCATGTATAAGTCATTATAAATGCTTTATATTATAAAGGTATACATATCATTACATACTTATTTATTAATAGTTTAATAAGGCTTTTGATCTATTTTCTAATCATGGAAAACAGCTACTGAATGTCAACAGAGGTAGTTCTATAATTAAATTCACAAAATGTAATATGTTTCTGTGAATGCATAAATAAACCAAGGTAATGTTTATCAAGGGGCAAACATTGTGACTATATCATAAAATATACATTTACTTTAGTTTAGAATAAGATAATGAAATATCACTACATTATTTGCTCTCACCAATGCATTCTGGATGGCAGAGTTGTTGATCCATCTGAAGGCAATCACCTACTACAGAAAAACAGAAAAATCCCAAAATCTACACACAAACCCTTTAGACAAGCTTGAAAACTCATTGAAAACCACAGATTCAACTTTTAATTCACTCCATTCCAATGTCTAATTTGCAAATACCGGTAGTCATAATGAATTAGCTCATGTTCTCCTCTTTCAAAAAGTATAAACAGTTACTGTCCATTATTCACTGAAAAGCACAGTCAGTCATCCCTGTTTGAAATGAGAACTAACTATATGAATAAGTCAAATCCCAAATCCAATCCCAAACCATAGAGAACTTACTGTGTAGCAGAATGAGAGCCGTGAAGATAAGAGAGAGTAGTAATCCAAGCTGGGACATGGCCATAGCAGTCTCAAGTCACTGCAGCAGCCCAGGATTCCAAGACTCCACATGTAAGTAGTTGGGCTGAAGAACAGTCACTGTTCTCACACAGCCAGTGAATGGCCATGCTTGTGCCTGTTCCTGCTGCCACAGTGACCCGCACTGCTCAAAGCATCCAATCAGGAAGTACCTCCCAGCCTGGAGCTACAAACATCCACTGAGCCAATCACTTGACACAACATTGGGCCCCCACTCAATACAAAGCCTCTCTATGGTATATAAACCCCCCTATGGCTAAAGAAGGGTTCCAGACAGAAAAGCACAACTCACTTTGGGATTTTAAAGTTGTATATCTGTTTTTTTGTTGTTGTGAGAATCAACAATGTTATGGCAACTTGGTTGTCAAAGTGTTGCAAATACGATACAGTAGATGTCTGCTCTGTGACCCAAGTCTTATAGCTAGGCATCTTTGTCCTCATAACCCACCAATTACATTGTAAGTAACCAAGGGTTACCCATGTTTATTATGGGGTTTATTATGATGGGGGTGCACATAATGGTCTATCTGATTAATCGTATTGCCTATACAGCATGATATTCACTAGTTCATTATTGGGGTCAGATTTGCTTTAGCCTCCAAGTGGGTAATTATTGTGTGTCAGATGGATTCACAAACAGACAGCCAGAGAAAAGGGGGTGTGACTGTGTTATGTGAAGCTACAGTATATATGGAGGAGACCATGTCATTGGCTGAAGTAGAGGGACATCTAGTGTCCTTCTCTTGCCTCATCTCTTAGGTAATAGACCTCAAATAGAATAGGGACATTTTCAAATTAATTGAAATAGGAAACGAAACCATTGGTTATTTTTACAGAATATAAATGATGATCTACTATGGAGGAAATTAAGAAAAAAAAGCATCATATATTTTTATAGTTGTTGAAATATCATACTTATTTTTAGTCTATGTATATGTACTGTATGTATACTGAACAAAAATATAAATGCAATATCAAAAATCAAATCAAATCAAATCAAATTGTATTGGTCACATGCGCCGAATACAACAGGTGCAGACATTACAGTGAAATGCTTACTTACAGCCCTTAACCAAGATGCAACAATTTCAAAGATTTTACTGAGTTTCAGTTCATAGAAGCAAATCAGTCAATTGAAATAAATTCATTAGGCGCTAATTTATGGATTTCACATGACTGGGCAATGGGCGCAACCATGGGTGGGCCTGGAAGGGGATAGGCCCACCCACTGGGGGAGCCAGGCACAGCCAATCAGAATTAGTTTTTCCACACAAAAGGGCTTTATTACAGACAGAAATACTCCCAAGCACACCTGTGTAATGATCATACTGTTTAATCAGCTTCTTGATATGCCACACCTGTGAGGTGGATGAATTATCTTGGCAAAGGAGAAATGCTCACTAACAGGGATGTAAACAAATTTGTGCACAAAATTTGAGAGAAATAAGCTTTTTGTGCATATGGAACATTTCTGGGATATTTTATTTCAGCTCATGAAACATGGGACCAACACTTTACATGTTGCATTTATATTTTTGTTCAGTATAGTTGACAAAGGAAAAATAGGGTGTAAGAGAAATCATAAAAGGTGATAGCCATTTACAGTAGGGCTACACCCAGGGGCGGATTGGCCATCTGGCAATTCTAGCAAATGCCAGATGGGCTGGACCATTTTTTGTTGGTGGGCTGGTCGAAATTGACACACAAAAATGTATTTAATGAAAAGGGTGACATGGCTGGCGGCCCATGGGCCTGTTAAGATTTTTTATTTTTTTTTGCACACTTTCTCTGTTATACTAATCTATAATGAGCCTTTGGCTGATCAGTGGGCAACGACGGCCAATATGGGCCGGCCTGGCTTTCTGATAGGCTGAGCCGAGGTCACGTAAACTCACGTTCAAAGTCAAACGCGGCATCAGCAAAGAGACCTGCTCCGACTTTGTCATCAGTTAGACAGCCAAGATCATGGATTGTAAATAATGGAAAGGGTGCATATAAACATAGAAAGAGCACATTCTACATTGTCACCTCACTCAAAATGTCCTATTTTGGGGGCGGCTAAAACCATGATTCGGTAAAACAGTAAAGTGCATTATCCTCATCATTCCTGTAATGAAAGTGTCTGCCTGCCGCTGTGCCTGTGGCCTCGCTGGGACCTGCTGCTGTGATGAGCGAGCCACTCTCCTCTCCATGCGTTCAAGAGAAAAATGCTTTCTGATCGTATAACATTTCATAATGCAATTGCAGGAAAAACACAGCTTTGGAAGCTTTGTCCCTCTCAAAGAGAGGAGGGTCTCAGCTTTCTGTAGGTATAATGTATTTCTCAACTCTCAATATTCAGCTCAATAGCAACTATTTTACAACCAAGATATTTAAAATGGCTTTGAGATATGGAGTGGTGCAACGACCATTGCGAGGGCATAGGCCTCATTGGGTAGAAAGCTACAACTGCTACATTTTTTTTAGGACATTCCATTTACTGATGGATGAATACATGGCTACTAGTAGTGGATATTATGTTTAGAGTTAGCGACCTAGTTAATGTTTTCAGTTTCCACTTCCTCAGGTGTTGACCCCAAAATTAATTAGCCTATAATATTTGTTATAGTAATTAACACTTAGGGTATGTAGCTTAGTGGGTAAGAGCGTTGTGCCAGTAACCGAAAGGTTGCTGGTTCTAATCCCTGAGCCGACTAGATGAAAAATCTGTTGATGTGCCCTTAAACAAGGCACTTAACCCTAATTGCTCCTGTAAATCGCTCTGGATAAGAGCGTCTGCTAAATGACCAAAACAAAAATCTAAAATGATTCAGGGGAATATGACAAGCACTAATTTGCAATATAGGCTAAGTCATTATGTTGGCTTTATAATGTTTAAGGGGTGAGGGTGGGGAGTGAGTTGGCGGTGTGCCTAGTGATGTGGGCTGGTGTGGATAAAACAATGCCAGGGCCGAATTCTTGTCCCAGTCCGCCACTGGCTATGGCACCCAGATCAACTCAACCACCACTCCACGCTGTTTGTATCGGTCGTTTGCTTCAACCACGCCCGCAGTTCACGTCAGTCTGCAACGTCAGTTTGTGCGTGTTGCTCTGTACCGGGGGGCGTAGGTTTGACCGGCTTTTCAGAGGCAGACACAATGAACCGTCGGACGATGTAAAGTACGCATGTGGTCTGAAGGCACACGTTTTGGCAGTATATATTTTTTATTTTGTTGGATATAATTTGATGTTTTCGAGCACACATATCAACGAGACTTTGTGACGGTATAGGGATAGTTGGAAAAGGTCTGTTCAACGAGTTCTCCTGCTAAAACAAGGTCGAAATATCTGGCTAGTCCGATTCGAAAACGACTCCGAAAACAATACGGAATTTTTCAAGGTAAAGGACTTGCTAAAGTCGAAGGTAAATTATGTCGATGATTGAATATTCTGATTACTTCGCCGCAGAATGTCTGGTGTCGATATCTAGCGGTCCCGTCCTACACCGACCTACCCCGGTTGCAGCCGCAGCCCAGCCCCCTCCCCAGGCCCTTCTTCCTGGGGAGCCTGAATGGTCGAACGAGGACAGGGAGGTGCGCGAGACAATGAGACTCGATGGGGCCAACATGATGAAGGTGGCTGGGATCCTCACGGACCTCCACAGCAAGTTCCGGCCGATGTCGGCCTACTCGGAAAGCAGCAACTCCTCGTGTGGGGAGAGCGGCTACACCACGTTGTCTGACTCAACTACCCCTACCATGACCCCCTCTGCTACTCCAATTCCTGGACAGTACAATGCCATTCAGCAACAGTGGGGAGGAGGGGCGCCTCGGTCCCCAGTAAAACGACACCAGTGCACTTTCGACGGCTGTGACAGAGTTTATGGGAAATCATCTCACCTGAAAGCCCATATCAGAACCCATACAGGTACAATTATGCCGCTAGCTCTAACTGTAAAACATGTTTTGGCCATGTAATCGGAACAAACATAACTGTTCATTATCCAAGTTGTTCCAGAACTTCAAGTTTGGCCATACTCACTAAACACTCCTCCTTTTGTGTCACTCTCTCTACAATTTTCATATTGTTTTCCTGAAGAATGGTGTTTTTCTTCGCAGGAATACACTGTAAATTGGGTGGTTATCGTTTACCCGCGAGTTAGTACAATACTCCCCGAAAGGGGGAAAATCTCCGCAACAGAGGGCTCATAACAAAGAAGTACACGAACAAAAGATTGGGGCTGGACGAAAAAGCATAGTAACTAGTGACGAACATGCTACATCTAGGCTGTATTTGCATACGACGAGCGAGTTCGAGATGGAAACGTAGCGTTTGGGGTGGCGTTTGCGCAGGGTCGGTGGTTCTTTTAGCTCGAGCTGCCAAATCTTTTAATCCCACCTCGCATCAATGTGGCCATTTGGTGAGAGTCAGGTCTTTGTAGAAAAACTCAGTTTTCTTTGTTGAAATCATCCATGTCTGTCAAAGTTGTATGTTTAGCGCTGTTACTTTGTGTACATGCATCAGGTGTCCGCACAGTCTTGAGGTTGAGGGTCAGTGAATAACAGGCGCATATGGATTAGAAGAGGTAACCGTCAGGGAACGCCTACAAAATCGAGTGAGGGAGAGTTGGGAAGGTATGTGCTATTCGGCATCCTTAGGACGTCCCTGATCTTAACCATTTTACATTTCAACGGGGGGGTCCCAAGGATACCGCCTAGCACAGACCGAGTTGGGAGTGTTGCAAAACGCATGTCCGCTTTGCGGTCTTGAATATAGCCCCTGCATCCCCTCGTTTGTTCTATGGCACGAAATAGGCTTAGATTTCACATTGGGGATATCCTCTTGTATAATAGTCAACATAAGAATTTACTATTTACAGTAGGTTATTAGCCTGGCTATTACCCATTTGGAGGACAGTCGTTTTGAAAAGCCTACTCAAAGTGAAAACTTTCACACTTTTAATGTGGATAATACAAAGGTATTTGACAACTTTGTGTCAAGTTAATCACTTTCGAAACAAGGCAGCCTTTTGAAGGTTTCACATGTCTGAACCCAGTTAGAGCCTTTCCTAGAAGACGTGGAGGTGTTGAGGGAGGCCTCTTCTATGGCCGCCCACCATATGTTGGAGGCAGCCTGCCCTATGAGTGTCAATATCTATTGCAGTCTACATTTTGCATTCACTTTTCTACATTTCACTATTCACTACCCATGTGAACCATGACCAGGGTAGATTTAAGTTTTTCTTTTCAAAATAGGTTGATTTCCTTGCATAAAAAAAGGCTGCTGATAATATTGTAAACTTTTTACCAAATTGATGGGTATATAGGGTTCTCCCAATAATTTACCTTACTACCAACCGCTATATGTCTTTCTACCTTAATGGCTAGTGTTAGAGATTGGCACAAGCAGGGTAATGCTTGACCCCCAGTCTGACCTTTGTGCCAGACTCAGTATTTTAATTTGAAAGTTTGGTGTAGACCTAGACTCTTTTTTACAGCCCTCTAACCAATTGTACTATTATGTGTGTTTTTCCGCGTTATTTGTAATTTATTTTGTACATAATGTTTCTGCCATCGTCTCTTATAACCAAAAAGAGCTTCTGGATATCAGGACAGCGATTACTCACCTCGTATTGGACGAAGATTTTTTCTTCAACGAGGCGGCCGCGAAGGATATCCTACAGACACCCGACAAGGCCCAAATCCCCGTCATTCGCATGAGGAAGAGACAGAGATATCGTGGACGTAGGTCGGGGTGCCTTGTAAGGATCCGACGGCGAGCGAGTAAACTGCCGCTCCCATCAATCCTATTAGCCAATCTTCAATCATTGGAGAACAAATTGGATGACCTAAGATTACGGTTATCCTACCAACGGGACATTAAAAACTGTAATATCTTATGTTTCACCGAGTCGTGGCTGAACGATGACATGGATAACATACAGCTAGCGGGCTATACACTACATCGGCAGGATAGAACGGCTGACTCCGGTAAGACAAGGTGTGGCGGTCTGTGTATATTTGTAAACAACAGCTGGTGCACAAAATCAAATACTAAGGAAGTCTCGAGGTTTTGCTCGCCTGAGGTAGAGTATCTTATGATAAGCTGTAGACCACACTATTTACCAAGAGAGTTTTCATCTATATTTTTCATAGCTGTCTATTTACCACCACAAACCAATGCTGGCATTAAGATTGCACTGAATGAGCTGTATAAGGCCATAAATCAACAGGAAAACGCTCATCCAGATGCAGCGCTCCTAGTGGCCGGGGACTTTAATGCAGGGAAACTTAAATCCGTTCTACCTAATTTCTACCAGCATGTTAAATGTGCAACCAGAGGAAAAAAAACTCTAGACCACCTTTACTCCACACACAGAGACGCATACAAAGCTCTCCCTCGCCCTCCATTTGGCAAATCTGACCATAACTCTATCCTCCTGATTCCTGCTTATAAGCAAAAACTAAAGCAGGAAGCACCAGTGACTCGGTTAATAAAAAAAGTGGTCAGATGACGCAGATGCTAAGCTACAGGACTGTTTTGCTAGCACAGACTGGAACATGTTCCGGGATTCTCCAGATAGCATTGAGGAGTACACCACATCAGTCACTGGCTTCATCAATAAGTGCATCGATGATGTCGTCCCCACAGTGACCGTACGTACATACCCCAACCAGAAGCCATGGATTACAGGAAACATCCGCACTGAGCTAAAGGGTAGAGCTGCCGCTTTCAAGGAGCGGGACTCTAACCCGGACGCTTATAAGAAATCCCGCTATGCCCTCCGACGAACCATCAAACAGGCAAAGAGTCAATACAGGACTAAGATTGAAACGTACTACACTGGCTCTGACGCTCGTCGGATGTGGCAGGGCTTGAAAACTATTACAGACTACAAAGGGAAGCACAGCTGCGAGCTGCCCAGTGACACAAGACTTCCAGACGAGCTAAACCACTTCTATGCTCGCTTCGAGGCAAGCAACACTGAAGCATGCATGAGAGCACCAGCTGTTCCGGATGACTATGTGATCACGCTCTCCGTAGCCGATGTAAGACTTTTAAGCAGGTCAACATTCACAAGGCCGCAGGGCCAGACGGATTACCAGGACGTGTACTCCGAGCATGTGCTGACCAACTGGCAAGTGTCTTCACTGACATTTTCAACATTTCCCTGACTGAGTCTGTAATTCCAACATGTTTCAAGCAGACCACCATAGTCCCCGTGCCCAAGGACTCTACGATAACCTGCCTAAATGACTACCGACCCGTAGCACTGACGTCTGTAGCCATGAAGTGCTTTGAAAGGCTGGTCATGGCTCACATCAACAGCATTATCCCAGAAACCCTAGACCCACTCCAATTTGCATACCGCCCCAACAGATCCACAGATGATGCAATCTCTATTGCACTCCACACTGACCTTGGCATGGGTCCTCAGATCCTCAAAAAATTCTACAGCTGCACCATCGAGAGCATCCTGACTGGTTGCATCACCGCCTGGTATGGTAACTGCTTGGCCTCCGACCGCAAGGCACTACAGAGGGTAGTGCGTACGGCCCAGTACATCACTGGGGCCAAGCTTCCTGCCGTCCAGGACCTCTATACCAGGCGGTGTCAGAGGAAGGCCCTCAAAATTGTCAAAGACTCCAGCCATCCTAGTCATAGACTGTTCTCTCTGCTACCGCACGGCAAGCGGTACCGGAGTGCCAAGTCTAGGTCCAAAAGACTTCTCAACAGCTTCTACCCCCAAGCCATAAGACTCCTGAACAGCTAATCATGGCTACCCGGACTATTTGCACTGCCCCACCACCCCATCCTTTTACGCTGCTGCTACTCTGTTAATTATTTATGCATAGTCACTTTAACTCTACCCACATGTACATATTACTTCAACTACCTCAACTAGCCGGTGCCCCCGCACATTGACTCTGCACCGGTACCCCCCTATATATATAGCCTCCCTACTGTTATTTTATTTTACTTCTGCTCTTTTTTTCTCAACACTTTTTTTGTTGTTGTTTTATTTTAAAAATAAATGCACTGTTGGTTAAGGGCTGTAAATAAGCATTTCACTGTAATGTCTGCACCTATTGTATTCGGCGCATGTGGCCAATAAAATTTGATTTGATTTGATTTCTGTCTCCCTTCACCAGGTGAACGACCCTTTCCCTGCACCTGGCCCGACTGCGAGAAGAAATTTGCCCGGTCTGACGAGCTGGCTCGCCACATGCGCACCCACACGGGTGAGAAGCGCTTCCTGTGCCCACTGTGCGACAAGCGCTTCATGCGAAGCGACCACCTCATCAAGCACGCCCGCCGCCACCCCGACTTCCAGCCATCCATGCTGTGCCGCAAAGGCTCGTCCTCCGGGGTCCAGGGGGTGTCCAGCCCCGCCATGGGCCAGTAGAGTGGAGGGGTCAGTGGGTTCACTCCCACATCTAGGGCTGGGGTAAGCAAGGGTCACAGGGAGTGGTCCTAACCAATCAAATCCACAAGCCAGGCCCCAGCCTGTCCACCACTCACCACAAACAGGACCTGGCTGGGGGTGCATTCACCACCACCCACCTCGACGGATGAAGACGACACTACTCTCAACGCTCAACACAACCTCAATTCTCTCCAAACCCTTTCCCTGAAAAACACTCACACATGCAGGGAATTCTCATGGTCTTCAGTCCACAGTCTCAGCACACGCAGCAGCCAAATGTTTTCCTCCTCTCTCTGCTTATTTTAGAGAGATGGTGCGCCACGCTTTTTTACTGTGTCCGTTTCCTTTTTTGTTAGCGCCATTTAGTGAAATTTAGCTAGAGGCGTAGCGAGGCAGAGGTCGACTAGACGCATAGCAGCTTTGCTGATCCCATATTCACCGATTTTAGAGGTTGCACATTCCATGTGTTTTTGTCGTATGCGTTTGTTTCTCTTTCGAATGAATTTAGTTGGCTTAGTTATGTTACGTTTTTGCAATATTGTATTTACTGCATTATTTAATTTGCGGGTCAACTTCACTTTCATAGTACTGATGATGAGTGGTTTAAAGCGCTAAAGACGAGCAGTTTGCAGGCCATCCTTATTGATTCTCAATCAACTTTTATTTTTACCATCCATGAAACGTTGACACATGATACACGTAGTATTATGTCACATACTGATGCAAATGTATATAAGCTTTAAGCTTCTATTGTAGAGAATATCCTTAAATACTATTAGAGGAAGTAATACTTGTGATGAATTGTAGTCCTTATATTAGGGGTGACAGAGTATATGCTTGGATAGAATAGCGCTGCTTGTGAGTGTGTGTAAGAATGTGTGTGTGTGTGTGGGTCTCTATTTCTGTTTTGTTAGAGAAAGAGAATACACTTTCTACTGTTTCCACTGTCTGTCCAGCTAAATGGACACCCTTACTTTATTATCTCAGTGAACAACACTTCAGGAAACTCAGAAAGCCTTAAACAATTTCATACTTTTTTTAACCATGTTTACAGTTTGAATCATTTCTACAGGTTTACGCCGACTCGTCGACACATTACAAATACACATATGCAATATGACACTTTTTCTTACAGGTGTTTTGAACGCTACTTGGCTAATTTATGTGATAGGTATTCACTGTATTTATACGCTTCTACAATTGAACACTGTGGAATTTGATAGTGATACATGTTATTCTCATTATACTTATTATAGCCAATGGTTAGTAAGCCACATTTGTCCAAGTGCTTTAGGAAGTGTGATAAAGGATAGATTGGGGTTACTACATTTCTTTTCTTGTTTTTTCTTTGCTGGTCATTCAGGTCTTCTCTTATCATAATGAGTATGTATCTGGCTTGTTCCTATGTATCTTACTTGATCCTATGTATCTGGCTTTTCTCAGACACGATAACACTGTACTCGGTGCTCTCAGAGCCTTGTTAAAACTAATTTCTTCCACAGAAAGATTGAATTGCATGACTAAGGCACCTCCTCATAGAGTCCCTCCGATGTCTTCCTTCTCTCATGTCTCCACTAACAGACTGACTTTCATTGATCATTTTTGCTGCATTATTTGATCACTGTTCATTCCATTGTAATGGGATGTATTCAACTTTTTAGTTGAAATGCTTTTGCCATTTGTACACATTTTCACAAGTTATTACAATCTGTTGACAACACTTGGTAACTATAACTTCAAAGGCACAATATTACTTAGTGAAAGTATTTGCTATGTTTTAAAATGAATTGCGGATGTCTCCATGGATCTCATAATTTCCCAAATGTATTTGTTTCATTTTCTGACATGGTGACTCTAAGCAAGTCTGCCTCGTCAAAATGATGATTATTTCACAAAGAGTAACAATAATTTACCTCACAAATTGTTTTGTGTAATATTTTGTCTTCCCTTGGAAAGTAGTTGGATCAAAAATGCTTCTAAAGCCAATCGAGCCTTAGGTTTGAACTTCTTCTGTTCTTCAACTGAAAACTACACTCCGGCAGGGAAAACGTCTCTTTTAGTCTGTCTTGTCTATATTCTTATGTATGCTGTGTGTACAGACTGTGCTTAACACTTTTTCCCCCATAGTATTTTACTTACCCCTGGGTGTTCAGTAGTGCTGCTCATCATCAGTTTGGACATACTGCGTTAGATATGTATCAATAACATTCATTTTGTAACCTACATAAGAACTTTATAACACACCCATAACCCATACAAAACACATTCATAAGCAGTACATGGACATTTCATAAATGCTTATGTCAACACTCGCAAGTTGATATTTCAGTTATGTCACTATTTGCCATTGTTAACATAAGCGTTTATGAAATGCTAATTAACTGCTTACAAATGGGTAATGTATGGGTTATGAAGTCATAATGTAGGTACCCTTCAGATAGAGTTACCAATTAATCAATATAGATTTGACAAACCACAAAATCTGGCTTTGGGGGGACACAACCATATCTCAAAACTATTTAATTCACCGCGCTGAACACGTTCTAGGGCAAACGATGCTTATTGTTTCCCACCGTGCACTCATATTTTTTTAAAATGGCACCGCTGCATTGTGCGTACAAAACAATTTTTAAAATACTTTTTAAGACACATTTTAATGTAATCATTGAAGAAACCCCTTATTCCAGCTTTGTTTTACGTCGCTAAGAGGAACTGTGGAAATCATTTAATACAGCTGCAAAATCCTCTCTGATATTTATATTCTCAGGTGTCTTTTAAGAATTGAGCGCAGGAACTTCCATATTTCCTGTGCAACACCCAGGTGTAAGCATGTGTTTCTATTATTTTGCTGATTAATTTATTACGACTTATCATTTGTGTGGTTTAAATCTTTTTTCCATAGCTCATTATTTTGGTGATCTGGAACAATGCTAATAATTTGGTTCCATTGTTTGCTTGATACAAAACTGCCAGTGCTTTTTTAAATAATAAATACAAACTGTAAGTTGAATGTTTTGGTTGTGTGTGTCATGTTCTTCTTAATAGGTGACTGTTAACAGATACTATTAACTTAACTGTATTTAAGTGTTCATATCCACTTAATTGTCAATATTGTTAACGTTAAAGGGAAGGTTGTCTGAGATGGCATTCAAAGTAAGGAACATTTTATCAATATCTTTTAAAGGGATAATTCACCCAAATTACATTGGGTTTCTTACCCTGTAAGCAGTCTATATACAAGGTATGATATGAAAGAAATCCATGCTTTGGTTTTGTTTACCTGGCCACTGCTAATTTATTTGCATCTGTAGCACAATCCAATTCAAGTCAATGGTACCTATATTAGCATTGTTTACTCTTTGTCCAAATCATCTATAAGTAGTGCTGAGCGATTAACCGAAATGTCGGTTATTTTTCAGTTTTTAAACAACTAATTCACTGACATTGGTTCAATTATGTGAATTCCATTTCTCTGTTTCTGTGAGCTCAACGCGCACATTGCACTGCAGTTTCTCTAGAGATACAGTGAGGGAAAAAAGTATTTGATCCCCTGCTGATTTTGTACGTTTGCCCACTGACTAAGAAATTCAGTCTATAATTGAGACCAAAATCGAGCTCTTTGGCATCAACTCAACTCGCTGTGTTTGGAGGAGGAGGAATGCTGCCTATGACCCCAAGAATACCATCCCCACCATCAAACATGGAGGTGGAAACATTATGCTTTGGGGGTGTTTTTCTTCTAAGGGGACAGGACAACTTCACCGCATCAAAGGGACGATGGACGGGGCCATGTACCGTCAAATCGTGGGTGAGTACCTCCTTCCCTCAGCCAGGGCATTGAAAATGGGTCGTGGATGGGTATTCCAGCATGACAATGACCCAAAACACACGGCCAAGGCAACAAAGGAGTGGCTCAAGAAGAAGCACATTAAGGTCCTGGAGTGGCCTAGCCAGTCTCCAGACCTTAATCCCATAGAAAATCTGGAGGGCGCTGAAGGTTTGAGTTGCTAAACGTCAGGCTCGAAACCTTAATGACTTGGAGAAGATCTAAAAAGAGGAGTGGGACAAAATCCCTCCTGAGATGTGTGCAAACCTGGTGGCCAACTACAAGAAACGTCTGACCTCTGTGATTGCCAACAAGGGTTTTGCCACCAAGTACTAAGTCATGTTTTGCAGAGGGGTCAAATACTTATTTCCCTCATTAAAATGCAAATCAATTTATAACATTTTTGACATGTTTTTCTGGATTTTGTTGTTGTTATTCTGTCTCTCACTGTTCAAATAAACCTACCATTAAAATTATAGACTGATCATGTCTTTGTCAGTGGGCAAACGTACAAAATCAACAGGGGAGTTGTAGTTTCCAACAGGCCAATGTTCTACATAGTTTAGCACAGCAAACGTGATAATTAACTACAATGACCATAATCCATTGCGCGGCTACATGTCCAGTCTGTGTTGAGGGGATACATAGAGAGCAGTTGCTTTGTATGGTATTGGTATTCAGCAGTCATAAAAGTTTGCCTTATTTACTTTGAAGAACTACTAAAATAGTGATTTTATCAGACAGCTTAAGCAGCAGCTCTATAGAGATGATGACTTGCAATTAAATAATAAAGTCATCAAATAAAACAAATGTAATATACACAACAATTTAAATATTTTATTAAGGTAATGTGAATAATTGATGGTTAAAAAGTAAAGTGATAAGCAGTCACCCTCATGAGACTTTTATTAATTGTTTTATTCTGTGTTGTTACGGTATTCAACCCACATAATGCATAGAGCATTTGTGGTCCTCTGTAGCTCAGCTGGTAGAGCACGGCGCTTGTAACGCCAGGGTAGTGGGTTCGATCCCCGGGACCACCCATACACAAACATTTATGCACGCATGACTGTAAGTCGCTTTGGATAAAAGCGTCTGCTAAATGGCATATTATTATTATATTATATTATTATTTGATGTTTTAAAAAAATAATCGAAATCATAATTGTTTTGTAATAATAAAACCGAAACCGAACCAATCTCAAATAGCACTAATCGCTCAGCACCATCTATACGTAACTTCACTGAGTTACACAATACATTTTGGGATGATTGTTTGCGTGACCTTAACCTTGCAGGGGCATAGAGCCTGGAAACAGTGTGGGACTGTTTGGAATTTAGGGGGTGACATGCTAATCAATTCAAATTCTGAGCAAATCACACAACTATGAGGCGTGGCTCTAAATCGAGGCGGGAGAGGATAATCACTAGTTAACACAACCACAAAGTCATAAACCCCGCCTATTTCTACAATTTATCTTCTTAAAATCAGATTTTAAACCTAACCCTAACCACACTGCTAACCTTATGCCTAACCCTAACCTTAAATAAAGACCAAAAATATAATTTTCTTAGCCAATTTTGACTTTGTGGATGTGGAATCTGACTTTGTGGCTATGGAAGCTAGTGGAAACCGAGAGGGAGTGTAGTGGGTGGGGAAGAGGAGCAGCGGCTCCACAGAGAACGCCAGCAGGTCCCTTTGCTCAAACTGGGCCATCTACTCCTCTCTGAGTGCAAGGACAGTTGTTTTCAGACATGCCTGGTCTGAAAACAACCCCTTCCCCTAGCTTCGCAAGGCCCATTGAAAGATGATCTTGAACCATCACCATATTGTTTGCACCGTTTTGGTCGCTAGCTGGTCTCTTAAGGGAAAAATCCACTCAAAAATGAACTTTTCGTATTTTTATCATTAGTTCACTGTTGATACAGTCGCAAAATGCGTCATCATGATGATGTGCCAGGTGACACTTTGCTACTTGAAAGTCCAATATCTTGAAAACTTAACTGCTGACATGCAACACATGGGACTGTAGCAACAGTGGACTACTGAAAAAAATGCCAAAAGATAGTTGTTGAGTGGAGTTTTCCTTTAAGGCCAGCAAACACAGGGTTTACACGGGCAAATGTCACTCAACAAGCATGTACTTGCTAAATAAGGCGCTTGCTGGAGAAAGAAAAAGAGTGAACACAGTTAAAAGAGCAAAAGTCTGTATGCAAATATACTTTGTCCAACCACTGGAACTCACCTTGGGTGCTTATTGAACATGACAGGCAGGTATTTGTCCTCAGACAGCATCTTGCCCAGGGGCAGGGCCCCCAGGAGCCTATTGCCCCCCTGCAGGGAGAGGGTGTAGCCCAGGATCCAGTAGGAGTAGTCAGGGTGTACCAGGTTACCAGCGCTCCGGCTGGGTGGAGGGGGTCATCTTGCCCCACATACAGTGCATTCGGAAAGTATTCAGACCCCTCTGAATGTCCTTGAGTGGCCCAGCCAGAGCCCGGACTTGAACCTGATCGAACATCTCTGGAGAGACCTGAAAAATAGCTATGCAGCGACGCTCCCCATCCACCTGACAGAGCTGGAGAGGATCTGCAGAGAGGAATGGGAGAAACTCCCCAAATACAGGTGTGCCAAGCTTGTAGCGTCATACCCAAGAAGGATTGAGGTTGTAATCGCTGCCAAAGGTGCTTTAACAAAGTACTGAGCAAAGGGTCTGAATACTTATGTAAATGTACTGTAGCTGAGGGAGAGAGGGAGAAGGAGAGAGAAGCTTCAACCTTGTTCCATTCGTTTTATTAAGCATTCCTAGAAAAATAAGCCATTTTAGACTGTTGAGCTGCACCTCAACGTCTGTCTGTCTGTCTGTCTGTCTGTCTGTCTGTCTGTCTGTCTGTCTGTCTGTCTGTCTGTCTGTCTGTCTGTCTGTCTGTCTGTCTGTCTGTGTGTGTTCGTGTGTGTGTGTGCAGCCAATCAGCCCTCACATCAGATCCCAATCCAGTCCCACTTGGTCCACGTTCTCCATGATGGTCACCAGTCTGCTGCGGAACCACTGCATGAACCTCACATCGTCCTCCAGTGCCAGCACATGCTGCAGTCCCTGTTTCAACACCTAGGGGGCGACATGCAACACAGGACGGCCACTGAGCCAGGGTTCGAATCTCCAAATACTTGATACATTAAAACAATTTACATTACACTATATATACAAAAGTTAGTGGATTCGGCTATTTCAGCCACATCCATTGCTGACAGTGTATAAAATCAAGCACACAGCCATGCAATCTCCATAGACAAACATTGACAGTAGAATGGCCTTACTGAAGAGGTCAGTGACTTTCAACGTGGCACCGTCATAGCATGCCACCTTTCCAACAAGTCAGTTCATCACATTTCTGCCCTGCTAGAGCTGCCCCGGTCAACTGTAAGTGCTGTTATTGTGAAGTGGAAGCGTCTAGGAGCAACAACGGCTCAGCCACGAAGTGGTAGGCCACACAAGCTCAAAGAACGGGACCGCCCAGTGCTGAAGCGCGTAGCGCGTAAAAATCGTCTGTCTTCGGTTGCAACACTTACTACCGAGTTCCAAACTGCCTCTGGAAGCAACATCAGCACAATAACTATTTGTTGGGAGCTTCATGAAATGGGTTTCCATGGCTGAGCAGCCACACACAAGCCTAAGATCACCATGCACAATGCCAAGCGTCGGCTGGAGTGGTGGAAACGCGTTCTCTGGAGTGATTAATCACACTTCACCATCTGGCAGTCCGACAGACTAATCTGGGTTTGGCAGATGCCAGGAGAACGCTACCTGCCCCAATGCATAGTGCCAACTGTAAAGTTTGGTGAAGGAGGAATAATGGTCTGGGGCTGTTTTTCATGGTTTGGGCTAGGCCCCTTAGTTCCAGTAAAGGGAAATCTTAACGCTACAGCATACAATGACATTCTAGACGATTCTGTGCTTCCAACTTTGTGGCAACAGTTTGGGGAAGGACCTTTCCTGTTTCAGCATGACAATGCCCCCGTGCACAAAGCGAGGTCCATACAGAAATGGTTTGTCGAGATCGGTGTGGAAGAACTTGACTGACCTGCACAGAGCCCTGACCTCAACCCCATCGAACACCTTTGGGATGAATTGGAACGCCGACTGTGAGCCAGGCCTAATCGCCCAACATCAGTGGCTGAATGGAAGCAAGTTCCCCCAGCAATGTTCCAAAATTTTGTGGAAAGCCTTCCCAGAAGATTGGAGGCTGTTATAGCAGCAAAGGGGGGACCAACTCCATATTAATGCTCATGATTTTAGAATGAGATGTTTGACGAGCAGGTGTCCACATACTTTTGGTCATGTAGTTTATCTACTATCTTTCCATCTATCAAATAACAAATGAGTTGTAGTAAAGTAGTTTGAGCACTGTTACAGATTTAACACAATAAATCAATAAAAGTAGCAGCTATCAATGTTTATTAGGATTTTCATGCAATGTTTTTCATGTGTATAGAATCGATTTGCATGTATAGACTAGATGTGCACTTGTTTCCAGATGTTGTAGTGACTGAGGAAGCAGCCGATCTCCCATTGAGTCAGGACACACCCCGAATACGGGTCTTTGTACCCAGGCAACATGTCTATGCCCATCGCCTGCAGCTGGGAGGTGTTCAGGGCTCTGAACAAAAGAGAAGAAAATAAAAGATTAGTAAACATAATTCCAAATGTTCCAACCCAGCCCAGATGCTTAGGACTAGATTTACTTCAAGTTTGCACCTGTGCAGCATTGGCACCTGTTCTTTATCATACAAAATTTAGCACAAACGGTAGAACAAAAGATCAAAGGAAGATTAAGATATAGATGATACATCTAAGTTGAATGTTTGATGAATCCATGCTTCACTAATTGGAACAATAGTGGAGTGGAGTGAGGATTCAGTTTGGATAGCAGGCAATGTATTTTATCCCCTTCTGAAGTAACAGGTGCAGACGTTACGTAAAGTGCTTTTGGGTTGTTGTGTCATACTTACCATCCACCGCCTCTGTCAGTGTAATATCGATGCCTAGAACGGCGAGCGTGCTCAGCATTCGATCCCGCCAGTCAAAGCGACGCTTCAGATTAATCAGAAAGATCTAGAATGAAGGTGGGGAGAATAGGTCATGAAAATCAGACAGTTCCATCCTTTATCACCTTTCTCATGATTTGCATGAAATTAATAACAGTGGATGACTAAAGACACAATATACAGTAGATATATTCTAAGTGCATTCTCAGAACCTCATCAAATCAAATATTTTCCAGATGTTTAGGTGTATGGTGCCTGTATTTGGACGGCTTCATGATCAACCTCTGAATGCTCGGCTATGAAAAGCCAACTGTAGGCTTTTACTCCTGAGGTACTGACCTGTTGCACCCTCTACAACCACTGTGATTATTATTTGACCCTGCTTGTCAGCTATGAACGTTTGAACATCATGAAAAACAATCTGGCCTTAATGGCCATGTACTCTTATAATCTCCACCTGGCACAGCCAGAAGAGAACTGGCCACCCCTCAGAGCCTAGTTCCTCTCTAGGTTTCTTCATGCCTTTCTAGGGAGTTTTTCCTAGCCACTGTGCTTCTACATCTGCATTGCTTGCTGTTTGGGGTTTTAGGCTGGGTTTCTGTATAAGCACTTTGTGACATCTGCTGATGTAAAAATGGCTTTATAAATAAATGTGATTTGAATTTGATTTGATAATCGACTGAAGAAAAATACCTGTATCAGACTCTTATTATTAAATAAAAACAGATCATACTGTTAAGACATTTGCCATCTATGATTTCTGAAGGAATTCCTCAGTCTCTCATTAATGACCAGTTTGGGGATTCTCTAAAGGGAGGGGGCATGATGAAGGAGAGAAAGAGATAGCTAGTGAGCTATAACGGAGGAGTGAGCATTCTGACAAGGCTGTTATAGTGAGAGAAGTCTAACGGCTTCACAGAGACTGGTCTATAGGCGAGGGAAAAGCGTGAAAGAAAGTAGACGACAAGAGTAGAGGGATATATTAAAAGATAGTGAGGGGTGTGTGTGAGAGAGAGAGAATATCTCAAACTAACTCAGAACTCTCAGACCTACCTTGAACATTCATGGTATTCATGCATTGATGTCATTCCAAGAATTGTGCAGAAATATTTAGTAAGGATTCGTCTCAGTCATGCAGTGGCATGGCCACCTCCTCCTCCTGACACTGCTGTTGCTTCAAGGTCAGCGGTAGATACCCATAGTGCTCTCTGTTGCATATGTACATCTGCATGGAATCACAGGGTCATAATATAACATAATACATTAGACACATACACATTACATGTATTGCATGTTTGATTGAGTCTGCCTGGAGTGGTAGATAGGCAGGGTTTGCAATTTTGGGACTATTCTATTGGGTCTATTGTGCCAGAAGGAAAGCTGAAAGAAAGCTGAAAGAAATGCTATTTATATCCAGATCTGACCCCCATTCAATACGCAGTAATGAAAGTTGCATTTAAACACAATTCATTATGACTCCATGTCTGACCTGCCCGCCGCGCAGAGAAGGCGAAGACCATGATGTCATCCAGGGGAACGGTGTAATCATGGTGTGGAGGGTGCAAGGCCAGCGCTCGGCCGGTGCTCCGCCTCAGGACCACCAGGAAGGTAGAGTGCACCATGGGAACATCGAAGCAGCCCACTATGACATTATCTGTGGCCTTTGAAATGAAAAAAACTTCAATAATATCCTCCCTGGTAGTTTGTATATTTCAAGTCTTCAAATACAATGGTGGGCACTGAGCACATATGAAAGCAATGTGATATAATACAATGAATCAAAAAGGAAACATTTAATTAGCATTAATTGTATAAATGATCATGCGTTACAAATATTGTTGACGTCTATATCTAAAAAAAGACACACTCCCTAATTTAATTGAATATTAATGCCATAGATAGAAAACTGAATGCAAATCACACTGAAGTGGCAAACAAAACTAAAATGAAATTGGGAAAGGACAGAAGAGCCAGCCATACGGTCACATAACACTGAGGGAAAGTGCCAGGGGAGTGGTGGTGCGAAGCAAGATGGCAGAAGGCAAATCATCAAATGGCTCCATCTGTTTCCCTGCCCTCTAACAATACCCTTACTCAACATGACACTAACAGAGCCAGACAGCCAGAGAGCCAGACAAGACAGACAGACAGACAGACAAGTGCAATACTTCAGATTGAATAAACATTCGAATGGCAACTAAACCATAAAGTTGTCTTCCGAGAAGGGGGCCAGTAGTGGGCCAGAAAAAGTAGAGAAGTTGGAGAAATGGTGACAATGGGTGAAATAAATGAAGATGAATGAAGGGTCTACCTGTGGGGTCATGCCACACCAGAAGTAGAGGACACTGAATGGGTGATACAATCCATAGGATACTCTATATAAACTCAGCAAAAAAATAAACGTCTCATATTCAGGACCTTGTCTTTCAAAGATAATTCGTAAAATTCTAAATAACTTCACAGATCTTAATTGTAAAGGGTTTAAACACTATTTCCCATGCTTGTTCACTGAACCATAAACAATTAATGAACATGCACCTGTGGAATGGTCGTTAAGACAATAACAGCTTACAGACGGTAGGCAATTAAGGTCACAGTTATGAAAACTTAGGACACTAAAGAGGCCTTTCTACTGACTCTGAAAACACCAAAAGAAAGATGCCCAGGGTCCCTGCTCATCTGCGTGAACGTGCCTTAGGCATGCTGCAAGGAGGCATGAGGACTGCAGATGTGCCAGGGCAATAAATTGCAATGTCCACACTGTGAGACGCCTAAGACAGTGCTATAGGGAGACAGGACGGACAGCTGATCGTCCTCGCAGTGGCAGACCACGTGTAACAACACCTGCACAGGATTGGTACATCTGAACATCACACCTGCGGGACAGGATGGCAACAACAACTGCCCGAGTTACACCAGGAACGCACAATCCCTCCATCAGTGCTCAGACTGTCCGCAATAGGCTGAGAGAGGCTGGACTGAGGGATTGTAAGCATGTTGTAAGGCAGGTCCTCACCAGACATCACCGGCAACAACGTCGCCTATGGGCACAAACCCACCGTCGCTGGACCAGAGAGGACTGGCAAAAAGTGCTCTTCACTGACGAGTCGCGTTTTTGTCTCACCAGGGGTGATGGTCGGATTCACGTTTATCGTCGAAGGAATGAGCGTTACACCGAGGCCTGTACTCTGGAGCGGGATCGATTTGGAGGTGGAGGGTCCGTCATGGTCTGGGGCGGTGTGTCACAGCATCATCAGACTGAGCTTGCTGTCATTGCAGGCAATCTCAACGCTGTGGGTTACAGGGAAGACATCCTCCTCCCTCATGTGGTACCCTTCCTGCAGGCTCATCCTGACATGACCCTCCAGCATGACAATGCCACCAGCCATACTGCTCATTCTGTGCGTGATTTCCTGCAAGACAGAAATGTCAGTGTTCTGCCATGGCCAGCAAAGAGCCCGGATCTCAATCCCATTGAGCACGTCTGGGACCTGTTGGATCGGAGGGTGAGGGCTGGGGCCATTCCCCCTAGAAATGTCTGGGAACTTGCAGGTGCCTTGGTGGAAGAGTGGGGTAACATCTCACAGCAAGAACTGGCAAATCTGGTGCAGTCCATGAGGAGGAGATGCACTGCAGTACTTAATGCAGCTGGTGGCCACACCAGATACTGACTGTTACTTTTGATTTTGACCCCCCCTTTGTTCAGGGACACATTATTCAATTTCTGTTAGTCACGTCTGTGGAACTTGTTCAGTTTCTGACTCAGTTGTTGAATCTTGTTATGTTCAAATATTTACACATGTTAAGTTTGCTGAAAATAAATGCAGTTCTTTTTTTGCTGAGTTTATATACAGTGGCTTGCGAAAGTATTCACACCCCTTGGCATTTTTCCTATTTTGTTGCCTTACAACCTGGAATTAAAATAGATTTTTGGGGGGTTTGTATCATTTGATTTACACAACATGCCTACCACTTTGAAGAGTAACTTTCTTTTTTCTTGTGAAACAAACAAGAAATAAGACAAAAAAACAGAAAACTTGAGCGTGCATAACTATTCACCCCCCCAAAGTCAAGACTTTGTAGAGCCACCTTTTGCAGCAATTACAGCTGCAAGTCTCTTAGGGTATGTCTCTATAAGCTTGGCACATCTAGCCACTGGGATTTTTTCCCATTCTTCATGGCAAAACTGCTCCAGCTCCTTCAAGTTGGATGGGTTCCGCTGGTGTACAGCAATCTTTAAGTCATACCATGCTGTAGCTCAGTTGGTAGAGCATGGCGCTTGCAACGCCAGGGTTGTGGGTTCAATTCCCACGGGGGGCCAGTATGAAAAATGAATGCACTCACTAACTGTAAGTCGCTCTGGATAAATGACTAAAATGTAAAAATGTAATACCACAGATTCTCAATTGGATTGAGGTCTGGGCTTTGACTATTCCAAGACATTTAAATGTTTCCCCTTAAACCACTCGAGTGTTGCTTTAGCAGTATGCTTAGGGTCATTGTCCTGCTGGAAGGTGAACCTCTGTCCCAGTCTCAAATCTCTGGAAGACTGAAACAGGTTTCCCTCAAGAATTTCCCTGTATTTAGCGCCATCCATCATTCCTTCAATTCTGACCAGTTTCCCAGTCCCTGCCGATGAAAAACATCCCCACAGCATGATGCTGCCACCACCATGCTTCACTGTGGAGATGGTGTTCTCGAGTTGATGAGAGGTGTTGGGTTTGCGCCAGACAGAGCCTTTTCCTTGATGGCCAAAAAGCTCAATTTTAGTCTCATCTGACCAGAGTACCTTCTTCCATATGTTTGGGGAGTCTCCCACATGCCTTTTAGCGAACACCAAACCTATTTGCTTATTTTTTTCTTTAAGCAATGGCTTTATTCTGGCCACTCTTCCGTAAAGCCCAGCTCTGTGGAGTGTATGGCTTAAAGTGGTCCTATGGACAGATACTCCAATCTCCGCTGTGGAGCTTTGCAGCTCCTTCAGGGTTATCTTTGGTCTCTTTGTTGCCTCTCTGATTAATGCCCTCCTTGCCTGGTCTGTGAGATTTGGTGGGCGGCCCTCTCTTG